ATGGTTGTCACCCCCTTCAATTGCTTTAATTGGAGAGGGGGTGTGGGGTGGGGGTGTGAGGTATGTGTTGATTTGGGTGGGGAGGGGTGTGACAACCATTATTGGCATGAGTATATATTACTGGATAAGAAAACAAACCTACATGTGTTCTTCTGTAAAACCTTCAAGTGCTTTTACTCAAAATTTTAAAGTTGAACTTTACTCTCAAATTGCAAACATAAAAAAACCCATCTTATGTCCATGAATACTATATATGACACTTATTTAACATCATGTGACACATAGGTTACTCACATGCCGTTAGCCGCTCTTATTCCACAGACAGTACAATGAAATACTGGTGTAAGATTCTTGTGACTGTATTGTGTGGGGTATGAAGAGGTTAGGACCTACTTGTGTCAAGAATTGTATTGTAGGTTAAATGTATGCATTGACATAGGGAGGATTATTTATCAGTTGTAAAACAAAGACTTGTACAACGAACAGTTATCTAACGTCAATCCTCCAGCAATGCATTAAGTGAGTGAGTGAGTTTAGTTTTATGCCACACTCAGCAGTATTCCATCTACATGGCGGCAGTCTGTATGTAATCGAGTCTGGACCAGACAATCCAGTGATCAACAGCATGAGCATCGATCTACGCAATTGGGATATGATGATGAGATGTGTCAACCATGCCACCGAGCCTGACCACCCGATCCCGTTAGTCGCCTCTTACGACAAGCATAGGTTACTGAATAGTGTTTTTCTGTAAGATCATGTCTTGACTACAAGAAAACAGTTTCCGACAACGTTTTACTGCTTGACTCGTATTAGATGAGCCTGCGCAGTACACGTGTTTGTGACAAGTAGGCGCTTCAGGGAAAGTAGACGAATACACATGGTTGCTACAGGCAGATTAGCGATTAAGCACGTGCAACACATACTGACCGTGGCGTGACCTCAATACCGCTTCTGTTGAACACGTGTCTCGTAGAGCGATTTAGTTCAGCAAGACACCATCTCGACACGAGTCAAATTCTGAATGTGCAGGCGTGTGCAACCAAAGTAGACGCTATCAATAAAGGTAACCTTGCTACTGGTCTTTCCAAAGCAACTTTAAAACATATTAAAGCGGAAGGTGATAGGGGTGCGAGTAGGCCTACTTTTATTAGTCCAACCAAGTTGCTCAAATCCAAAACTTCCCAGTTCAAACTTGATGATTTTGACCGATGTGCAGTCCGTCAATGTTTACAAAGTTTATATGGGGTACAAAAGCAACTGCCTACTCTAGATATATGATATATGATATGGCAAGAAGCCAATTGCATTACCACGGTTCAAAGGAAAGTTTTGGAAAAAAACTGAAAAATATGGGGTTTAGGTGGCGATAAACGCAGTCAAATGGTGAGGTTTTAATGGCACGAAAAGACATCGTTGCAAAGCGCATGCAATACTCACGTGGAATAAATAAATGTCGAGATGAAAATCGAACAATCATCTTTATCGATGAAACATGGTTGCATGTACACCACATTGGCCCAAAATGTTGGCAGCTTGATGGTGAGGCTGTCATAAATGGGGCTCAGCCTCCGTCCGGTACCGGACCTCGGCCTATTGTTGTTCATGCAGGATCCGAAAACGGTTTTGTACCAAAGGCTGTACTTGTATATGACTCAAAGCTCAAAACAGCAGATGAATTTTGATAATTTTTCCAAATGGCTGCAGGAAAAAATGATCCCACACATTCCACCCCACTCCGTCATTGTTATGGATAATGCACCATTCCACAGCAAGCAAGTGTGGACAAATGTCAAACAACAGCTAACGGAAAAGATGATATCAAAGCTTTGTTACAAAGGCACAATATTGCATTTGACGATAAAATGCTCAAAGCCGAACTGTTGTGTCTGGCAAAATCAAACAAGCGGTATCTCTTGTGGAACACAGTTTTGGATGATAAATGCCGATTATACATCCGTTTGTAAACATAACAAATGTTCTTTTCTCTAGCACTTGTAAGGGGTGTTTTGTAAATAAAGTTATATTTGTTTTGGTTCAGTTTCTAAGGGTCTTAGCTGTACACATACTTAGTATGATATAACAATCGAAACACGATTCGCACGAGCAAATTTTAATTTTTCAAGTTTTAGACGACAACCTGTTTCCCTCATCCCAAATGGAATGTGCTGGAGGGCGTTCCCATATATGCAAATTGGGGTCACTTGTCAGGTTGTGGCTCATCTAGTAGTAGCACATCAGTAATAATGGATATGACACAATACACAAATCATCTGTTTGGTTCCAAATGTTACCCGTGGCAAGTATGGAGCTAGAGAGAGGAGCAGGCAACATGGCGTGTATGTAAACAGACAAAAATCGTATATTTTTAAGCTGGGAAAGTTATGTTATCAATGTACCCACCACGTGCTTAGATAACAACCTGGGCAACGTTTCACAAAGCTCTCGTAAGCCCAAGATCTCGTAACTTTTCTGTTGCATTCGTACCTCCTATACTGTAACAGAGGAGGTACGAATGCTACCAGAAAAGTTACGAGATCTTAGGCTTACGAAAGCTTTGTGAAACAGGGCCCTGTACCTTAAGTTTCATACAGGGCCCCAGACGTCTTGTCTGTTGCAGAGAAAACTGTCGCCATTTTTGGTGCAAAGCTGTTAGGTATTGTCCGGCTTGGTCTGGTCATGATTGTAACTTGCTGATTAGTCAGAAATAAACCACGTTCCTTCGGTTGAAACATGTCTTCCGAACAAGTGTGTTTGGTGTCTTCCTCCATGAAATCTACGAGGTTTAAAGGTTACGAACCCTTGATAAATGACTAAACCAGTTGCTACAGTAACCAGTGGTGCTTCAGAACAGTGCCTGTGGCTGTCGTCGAGTGAGCCTTTATAGTACCCTGTCTTCACTATCTGACGTTATCGGAACGTGAGCAGTCCTTCTCCTGCATGATTTCTCTGAATTTTCAGACCAGACAATCAACAACTGGACATTCATGTGTCGACCAACTGCATTAAAGGACAAACCTGAGGTATGTGTCGTAGGTTTAAAATACGACCATTGGGCTGGTGATCAATGTTTTTATTCTGCCATTTTTGGTACAAACTGAGCGTGTCATTAAGCTGTAATTAGGGAACCTACATACACTAAACGCCAAAAGAAACGTTACCCTCCCACCTTTATGAATTACTGAAAAACTATCTAAGATATGTTAGAAGGTATTAGTTGACAAGAAAGCTTAACAACAGAGCTTTATGCAAATAAAAAACAACAACTCTCAAATGCATTCATATTTATGTGAAATGCATCTTTTTCAGAAGAGTTAAATTGTCCTATATTCGTCCATGCCGAAATAGACCAATAACAGTGATGTTGATGAAAAGAAAGGTTGAAACAAAATTTTGCTTTGGAACAATGATAAAACATTTAAAGTCACCATTTCTCAACTATTAAAACAAGAAACAACTGTTGTAGAGTGTGTAAAATTGTAAAATAATCATTCCTTTGATTTCAGTCTTTTGAAACATTTTCAGCTGATTTGCATTAGTGAAAACAAGTAAAACGTGTCTTTGATGTTGTGAAAATATGTTTAGAAACATCTAAAATTATCTTTGTTAACATTTTGCTTGCAAAGTAACATATTTCCATTTTCTGTTTGCACATAGCAATACCAATCGCCAAAACGCAGCAATATTCAAGCAGTATTTGCATCCATTTCACATGTAGAATGATTCTATAGGGTATGAAGAGAGCCTAGAATACATGATATGATACACAAGTACGAGAAAATATGCCACAATCAACAGCTGAAGAGAGAGAGAGCCATTGGGATGTTGCAGATGGGCTCGACATACAATGCTGTTGCCAACGCCCTCGGATGCCACCGTATCACGGTTATAAGACTTCCTCAGGGCTTCAGACAGACTGGGGTCACCGTAGACAGACGAAGAAGTGGGCGTCCATGCATCACAACGCCAGCTAAAGGAAGGAGGGTAACGTCTTGGCGTTTAGTGCAGTGTGGGCTGCCACTGCCAGCATGGCCTGTCCTACATTATTCATTAATATGACAAAGTGTACCTATTGTGACATTTACATAATTATCAACTAGAAATAATAATGAAAGTTAATGGTTACTAAATGGTTACAGGATTACACCTGACTTGTTTTAACACGAACAATGTATTCAAACAAACTTGCATATCTGTAATTAGCGAAACTACATATGCATGGTGAGGGCTGCCACTGCCAGCATGGTGATTGCCAGGCACATGGCACATGCAGCTTTTTAAACACCTGCCTGCACTGCAGACTGCAGGAGCAGCATGTGCCAGAGCCCAGATGTACCTGCTGGCAGCCAGCTCATCTGTATGGCAAGCTGTTAGGGACAAAATTGTCAATTTGTGAAATGTGATCGGGGTGCTGTGCTACATGAACAATCAACCTTTGACATATGGAAACCAATAATTTGCCTATAATAATTGCATCCTAAAATTGTACCACAATGGCAGAGTGAGTGAGTGAGTTTGGTTTTACGCCGCTTTTAGCAATATTCCAGCAATATCACGGCAGGGGACATCAGAAATGAGCTTCACACATTGTACCAATGTGGGGAATCGGCGTGACGAGCGAACGCTTTAACTATCAGGCTACCCCACCGCCCCCACAATGGCAGAAACATGGTTGATTATTGCAACCCTTGCAGATTAAATACCGACATGTGACAAGTGCACAAAGTGCACTTCGTGTTGGCTTCTGGACATGCTCCATTGGATGTGTTTGGGAGACACGTTCCACTAAATACACTTGCAATCATTTCTATGAACATTTGTGTCATTCGTGTCATCACACACAAGCTGAACTTGAACATAGTTCTGTTGGCAGTCAACACATTTGGGTGTGCTTAACTTTATTTCATGTGTATATATGTCCACCTTTAAAAGTCACAAGCTTGTTTTAAACCGTTGAGTCATTCTTATTTAACTCCTGATAAGACGACCCAAACACAACGCAAGGCAAACCCACGATCGTACATTTGAAGACTCAGCCGACTTGTATAATTTTTCCCACGAAAAGGTAAGGCAATCATCACATCAATACATCCATCAACTATCATAGAAATAACTACAAGGCAGTAAGTCAAGATTTAATCACCAACGGAATCATACACGTGTTTCGACAGGTAAAAACTTGCGTAGCTTGAGGCGTCCTGTCAAATACTGGGGTGCAGCTGGACGTAGTTTCAAAGGGCCGTTCAACTCAAATCTCTCGTTTACAACTGTGCGATTTTCTACTTGTTTTATATTTCCGTTTCAAACATGTAACCGTCTGAAGATGCATGTGCGAGATGAATGTTTTGAACTTGCGTAAATGTGTGATAGCGACCTTGGAGAACACGTGCATACATTTATTTCTTTTTGCTTGTTTTACGCCGCACTCAGCAATGTTTCAGCTACATGGTGGCGGTCTGTAAATAATCCAGTCTAGACAGTGTTCAACAGCATAAGCATTGATCCGCGCAACTGGGATAGGATGACAAATATCAACCGACCCAGCGTGCCTGACAATCCGATCCCGTTAGTCGCATGGATTACTGAAAACCAGTTTTAACCCGGTCGGTCTATTGGTTGTGGTTGGAGCGCGATTATATGAGGATTTAAACGTGAGTGAGTGAGTGAGTGAGTGAGTGAGTGAGTATTTACAGCCGCCTGTCAACAACATCTCTCGGGGAACATTTAGATCTCAGTGTTCATGATATAAAACGAATGAGTTGTTATACAAGACTTCTTTGAACTCCCCCTCCCTCTCTCTCTCTCTCTCTCTCTCTCTCTCTCTCTCTCTCTCTCTCTCTCTCTCTCTCTCTCTCTCCACTTTCTTCTTCCTTTTCGTCTTCCGTCAACTGAGGATCCCATTTCCCCGGATACAATGTACAATGCAGGATTGCTTACATCCATTCAGTTTGTCATGGAACCTGTCTCCGTCAAAGCAACACCGGAAACTGTTCACTCCCGGCAACAATTACAAGATCCCAAGCACCGCCAAAAGTTCATCCACACCTCGATATTTTACTTTGCGTCCATAGCACTGGTGAGACTCTTGTATGTCATGTTTTAAAATTTCTAATTTTATTGATCTTTGATATAATAATTAATTTTGGAAATATTGCCGATGTGACGATGAATAGTAACCTCACTCAGTCACCCATGTTGTGAATGTACTTGAAGAATGCTGCGAGGTTGAATCTGTAAAAGACAAACAGTTGCAGATATTTTAATGAAAAAAATCAAGAACCTGTAATCAAAAGAGTGGTTTTGCACACAAAACTTGTATATCATTGCAATTTACCCTTCATTCACCTCACTTTACAAACTCACTAAAAGTCCAAATGCACCAATGCAAATACCAAATTCTGAATTCACAATTATTGTTTCCAGGGCATTTGCCGTGCCATGCATGGCCCAGCATTCTTGGACCTGGCTCAGATCACTGGGAGCAATGTAGAGGAGGCATCGGTTTTCTATACGGCCCTTGCAGTAGGCGGACTCGTGGGCTCAGTCTTCATGGGTGTCCTCCTTGATAAATTCTCCAAACACAGGCACGCCCTTGTGGCCATTTTGTCCTTACTGATGGCGGCTAGTGTCAGCGTTATACCGTGGAGTCAAAACTACATCTTGACCATTTGTTTATTTGGTGTTAATGGGATATTAACAGCAGCCTTTGATACAGGTAAACCCTTAACTTTTTAAATACCTCACAGCAATAAACATTAAGCATGTATCTGTGATTCATGTAGATGTAACCTCAGTGAATATATTATTTTGAACTTGTCATATCAATAATGTATCGTAATCATTTTAGTTAAAAAAATCCATACTTATAGTAACTCGAGCTAACATAGGGGTGGTGCAGCTACACAATTACAGTACCTATATTGGTTCTGAACGCCATTCAATTTGATAGCAGATGAGCAGGTGGGGGGTATTTTTCCAAATGTCAAAGCAAGATTGGCTTTGGTTGAGCCAGCGTTAGTGTAGGGTTAGTTCTAATACTGTTGCAGACGTCCCTCTATGTCATTCAGTGGGAGATTGTCTGGAGAAACAACCAGCCATGGCTGCACAATGAAGCAGTGTTGCGTCAAACATTTGTTACTACTGTAGGCAGGTACTATCCTGATGTTACAGACCCGTCAAGATCCGGGGTAGAACAGGTCTTCAGCAACCCACGCTTGCCACAAAAGGCGACTGTGCTTGTCGTAAGAGGCGACTAACGGGAACGGGTGGTCAGGCTCGCTGACTTGGTTGACACATGTCATCGGTTCCCAATTGCGCAGACCGATGCTCAGGCTGTTGATCACTGGATTGTCTGATCCAAACTCTATTATATACAGACCGCCGCCATATAGCTGGAATATTGCTGAGTGCGGCGTAAAACTAAACTCACTCACTCACTCCTGATGTTACATCATTGCATTTCCACTATGGGTTGACCTTAGTGGTAGTTGTATAAACAATTGTCTTCAGCAATTACGAGTTCTCCAAAAGATGGCACTTCCACCCCAACAAACCAATCCAAATGACGTTGAGTAAAACGTTCTCCTTGGCACCTGTAGACCCTTTTTCGACCCTCAGAGGTGAAACCTGGACTTATTTAAGAAATACATAATGTTGAAGCTTTGCCTTCTGAACCAGGGGTGCTGTCTGCGCGAAGCCATACGATGTGACCATGTAGCAGAAGCACAATTGGCCGTGTGGCTGGATATTGGGCTGACATTGAGAAAAACGTAACACGTGTATGAGTGCCATGTTCTCAACAAGTGAGTGAGTGAATTAAAATTTAACGTCACCTCGGCAATATTTCACCCATATAGTGACAAGAAAGGCTGTACATACACAATAAATATGAGTAGTTAAATAACCAGTCATCGATACATACAAGTAGTTGAATAACCTGTCATCGACGGACCGTAAAATAACTAGAGTATCACAAAAAGAATTAAAACTAGCTAGCACATATCTTTTAAAAGTAGAAAACTATTTTGGACAATGCAATGTAGAAATGGGCTATTGGTCGCCAACAACTGAAGGGTGATCACCATACTAGGGACCATGGGGACTTACAGTGCCTTTGCTACCTGCATGGACCCTAGCTAGATTTACACCATCCCTTCAGCTGCTGGCGATTGTAGGCAAATGTAGCCACAATTAAAATGACAATAATACTACGAATAAAAATGTGGAAGATTAAATCTTACTTGGAATGTTTTGGGATTTACTATCCTCTCAGGAGGACAATAATTTTACGGTATGCTCTCAACAAACACTCCAAAGTAAATTGTGATTGAAGACCATAAGGTCATGTATCTATATACTTGGATTCAAAGAAGCATTTGTTGCATTTAAGAACAGAAGGACAGGTGTATTTTTGTGAAGAAGCCCAATTATGTTTTAAACTTTAAATCAACAAAGGTCACGTACAATGGGGTTCTACGCAAGATCTTTCACTATTACAACCAGAAACTGTTGTGAAAGAAGTAACGATTAGGAGAATGGACGCCTATAAACGTGTAATAATCTGGAAATCATTTAGATGATAATTTGTACTATCTGAGCTATCAATGCGTGAGTGAGTTAGGTTTTACGCCGTTTTTAACCATATTCCAGCAATACCACTGCAGGGAACAACAGAAATGAGTGAGCGAGTTTTGTTTTACGCCGCTTTTAGCAAGGTTTTCAGCAATATATCGGCGGGGGACACCACAAATGGGCTTCACACATTGTACCCATGTGGGGAATCGAACCCAGGCCTTCAGCGTGACGAGCGGACGCTACCCCAGCGCCCCTCAACAGAAATGGGATTCACACAAGGCATCCATGTGGGGAATCAAACAGGGGGCTTCAGCCAGACGAGCGAACGCTTTAACGTCTAGGGTACCCCCAACGTCCTGAGCTGTGACATATCATACATTGGATATACAGTTGACAAAGATTATTCCATAAAGGTAAAAACAATACCAAATGTAGGTTTGATGTTTTTCAGGTGCAAATGCTGATATTCTGAGCACATGGGGCGTGGACGGCAAGATTTATATACAGATTCTACACTTTGTCTTTGCCATCGGCACCATCTTAGCACCCCTTATCGTAGGACCCTTTTTGGCTGAGAAGAAGACACTCAATGGTACGGGCTGCGACACATTTGATATGCCACCGTCATTGAACTACAGCGGCGGAGCCGAGGCCAACAACTCGACTGAAAACAATTTCCTTCTTCCTGAGAACTGTGTCCCTTCCGAAAGTCATATCCAGTATGCATACATGATAGCAGCTTCACTCAGTTTTCTGGCTGGAATCATGATAACGATAGAATGCTTTTTCAGTCCTTCAGAGTCGAAACGTAAAACAGGAAATGAGAATCATCGAAATCCCCGGGTCCTTCCAAAATGGTTGTTTCTGCTTGTACTTTTGAATGTTGGAGGCCTGTATTTCTTCGCCTGTTCTTCCACGAGTGTCTTCATTGGGTACATGATGGCGTACTTTGTAACAGATCTCGGATGGAGCAAGGAAAAGACTGCCAAATGTACATCAGTCTTTTGGGCAGCTTTCGCTGCCTCTCGCTTGCTGTGTGTAATACTTGATCGCATCCTAACACCTCGTCAGCTTTTGTTTATTTCTAATAGTCTATGTGTGTGTTCTCTAGGTGGTCTCTGGCTCAGCATAATTCATGAGTCTGAGGCGGGGATCTGGATCTGCTTGGTCCTTGCGCCAATAGGAATGTCAGTTAATTTCCCAACTGGACTTGTATATGTTGAACATGATGTGATGAAAGTGTCAGGAATGGTGACGTCAGTCATCTGGGGGGCAGCGAGCTTACAAGGAATTGTGAACCCTTTGTTAGTTGGTTACCTTTTTCAGATGATATCCTACAAATGGTACATCTACCTCGATTTTATCGAGACTGTTTTGGCTTTTGTGTTTTTTCTGTCCACTGTTCTGATTGTTAGGACGCTTGTGGAAAAGTATGGCTCGCTTGAGTCGAAAAATACTGTTGATGAGAAAAACATGGAGGAGGCATTTATTGAGGAGAATGAGAAAACAGAGGATAATGTCGAAACGTAAATTGTACACATAACAGTATGCGTTAAAGAGTGTAACATTGGCAATCATTATGGAACATTAAGTCACTTTAAATGCATCACAAATTGAGAAGTTTTGATGAGGGTGAAGCTGATATTCCGCCAAAGAATCTTGTTGAGACACATTGAACGAGTAGACTTATATTATACAGATACAATATATTGCCAGAAGAATGTAACATTTTCATTTATATCAAACGGAATTAAAGTTCTTTCATCACTGAATAGGGAGGTTTTTCTTGTGGGTACGGGGATGTTTCGCCTTGGGTTTGCAAAGATCGAAGAATACTTCTAATGAAAGGTGATTTGACGATGTCTGAAATCACACTAAAAAATATTTGTAGGCTGTCCAAGGGATTTTATGTCATCAGAATGCATCTCCAGTAATAATGTTTCCGGACCAGAAAGTAAAATGAATTTTCTATCCCTGGTGACACAACAACGATTGACAGAATTCCGAAAAACATTGGCTTCGGATCCAAGTTGTCTGACTCATAGTTGATTTGTACCTCCCTACCACTTGGCTGACATTGGGAGAGTAACTGGGTTTATCTGCCAGGAAAACATCCCTTCTGACGCTGTTGGTAATACAGAAGGCTGCAGTGTTGGGGAGTCTACATATGCTCTTAAAGTGTTTGATGGATTCGACTTGGCAACGGAACCTGGAGAAGTCCCATTCGCTGTCGCTGCTGTGTGTAAAAGGGAAAAGGGTCCTGACCTGTTGAGGCTAACCACGATGTTTAAACGGCTTAAATCCTGCAATGATTTTATGGTTGATCAATTCGCTTTTCCAGGTCGTCAAGAGAGTTACTTTTCCGAAGTTTTTTGACCTGTTGTTGCTCAAGTAGTAAATCCTTATCACATTTGCTTAGTAAACGTTTTCATAAGTAAAAGTCACATGCTGTCTCAGATCGTTCTGTCATTCTTATCTAAACCCTGATAAGACGACCTGCACTCAACATAAGGCTCATTCCACACTGGGATCATACACTTAACAAAGACTCAACTAACCCGGATAATTTGGAACGATAAAAGGTAAGACATTTATATATATAGGTGCCCCGGGCGTTTTTAAAGACATGTAACAGTATACAGAGTATAACATCCCAGTTAACAAAATTGAGGAATGACAACGGTACAAGAATCTGTATCGAAACGTCGCACTCTCGTAATAAAGAAGTTGTTATCCATAAAGTTTGTCAATTTTGCACTTCCCAGCTTAAAATTCCACTTATTTCAGAAGTTATCCCAGTTAACAATTTCAGGTTGGCACAACGTTACGCTTTAGCAGTTACAACGTTATTTTTGTGGACTCCGGTTCACGTTGTCACAACGTTGTGTCCTGACGATTTGATATGTCATTTTTACGTCACGTTATTTCCTGCTAAGGTATTTTACGCTATCACAACGTTCTATTTAACGTAAACAGTTGAATAGTTTTCCCAGTAGTAAACAGTACATAAGAAACAAAGCAGAAATTCACATCAATGTTTATTCGTCAATTTGCATGTTGTTTTGGTCGTGTGTTTTCTGAAGCTGTAGCTGAGTAATGAAGAAAGAATCTCAAAGCGAAACGTTTTACAGAAAACTCTGTGCCACCAAGTTATAAGAAACGTTGTTATAACTTTGTGCGGAACAAAAAGCATACCGTTTCCTCAAAGTAAATTTGCAACGTTGTTATTACGTTGTGACATAACGTTATAAAATGACGTAACACTTACATGTGTTTCTACATGCTTCCCACAACATTGTGAAAAATGTGTTAGATGTAGAAGAATCACGGGGGTGGAGCGAGTGGAAGGGTGCAGCGAGGTTCATAAGCAATATCGGATGAAAATAGAGTGAGTGAGTTTAGTTTTATGCCGCACTACGCAATATTCCAGCCATATGGCGGCGGTCTGTAAATAATCGAGTCTGGACCAGACAATCCAGTGATCAACATCATGAGCATCGATCTGCGCAATTGGGAACCGATGACATGTGTCAAGTGAGCCAGCGAGCCTGGGTGCGGCATAAACTTAACTTACTCACTCACTCACTCACTCACTCACTCACTCACTCACTCACTCACTCACTCACTCACTCACTCACTCACTCACTCACTCACTCACTCACTCACTCACTCACTCACTCACTCACTCACTCACTCACTATGCTGTTCTTCATTATTATGTGGAGTGATACCAAAAGGGCGAAATATATACAATTTGATTTTAGGACATAGGGAAAGCAATTCCTTTTCGGATTAAGTCTTCCTTGGGGTATTCCAGCATTTTTTCACCAAAAACATGTCTAATGGCCGTGCAAATAGTTTTTTATTTTTTTAATTTTTTTAAACAACATTTGTTGTTGCGGTATTCAGTGGTGAGCGTATTACCTCCCTTTCATGAAACCTCGTGGCTAGGGTTTACAAATACATGTAGTTCTTTTAGCCTGTACTTAGGCACCCTTCGCCCAATGGCATTATCTTGTGGGGGGTGGGGGGTGTGAAAACCATTATTAGCATGAGTATATTTCTGAGATTGAAAACCTGGCTAGCTATTAAGCCCATTCTTAACACATTGGCTACGATCAAAGGTTAAGAATTCTTAGGGTTACGAACGTTTCCATAATAAGGTCCCTGGTATGTTTGACAGCGATGCTCCACATTGACTGCAGCATACGCACACGTAATGATAGTTTACAAATGTACTGGTGAAATACTTATTGAAGCCTGTGTGCAAGAATCCATTTAAAATATATGATTGGTTACATCGATTCAGTTTGTCATGGGTCCTGAATCCGTAACACCAACGCCGGAAACAGTTCACTTCCGGCAGCAATTACGAGATCCAAAGAACCGCCGGAAGTTCATCCACACGTTGCTATTTTACTTTGCGTTCACAGCACTGGTGAGTTTAGTATGTATCCATATCTCAAAGACCCGTGAAGATCAGGGTTAGAATATTTATCTTCAGTAACCCATGCTTGTCGTAAAAGGCGACTCACGAGATCGGGTGGTCAGGCTCGCTGACTTGGTTGACAAGTGTCATCGGTTCCCAATTGCGCAGATCGATGCGCATGCTGATGTCTGCTCCAGACTCGATTATTTACAGACCGCCGCCATATAGTTGGAATATTGCTGAGTGTGGCGAAAACTAAACTCATTCATTCACTGTTACTTTGTAGATGTTTGTCAATAACTTTATTCAGTGATAAGACTGTAAACTCACTCACTCGCTCACCCATATTTCAAATGTTCGTGGAACCTGCAGTGAGCTTGAGATTGCAAAAGAAAAATAGTTTTGAGAAACAGTAACACATATTTTAAAGAAATACCCAAGAAGCTGTACTCAAATGCTTGGTCACAATTGCAAGTTGCGATATTAATCTGCATTCCCCATTATTGTTTCCAGGGTATTTGCCGTGCCCAGCATGGCCCAGCATTCTTGGACCTGGCTCAGGTCACTGGTAGCAATGTAGAGGAGGCATCGGTCTTCTATACGTCCCGTGCAGTAGGGGGACTCGTGGGCTCAGTCATCATGGGTGTCCTCCTTGAGAAATTCCCCAAACACAGGAAAACCCTTGTGGCCAGTTTGTGCCTTCTAAGTGCGGTTAGTGTCAGCATTATACCATGGAGTAAAGACTATATCCTGACCATTTGTTTATTTGGTGTTAATGGGATATTAACAGCAGCCTTTGATTCAGGTAAGTACTGCAATTGTTTGTTTTCAATCATAAATAACTTTAAAATTGCACGTTTACTTGCTGGTTGAATGGAGGTATAAGTAATCTAATATAAATAGCACGATAATAATTGGTTATTCGTCTTTATCCTTAATTGATCATAATAACGACATTGACAAATCTTCTACCTGGTAATAGGCGGCATTTTGAACGTGTTTGTTTGTTTGTGTGTTTGTTTGTTTAACACCACATTCATCAGTATTACAATTTTATGGCGACAGTCTATAAATAATCCAGCCTGGACCAGACAATTCAGTGATTAACATAATGAGATACGATGTCATAAAATGTGACTGTGAGTCACTACCAAATGTTGATGATACTGCGTATCCTGGACCACCGATAGCATCCGTCATATAAAACATGTAAAGGCTAGTCAGTTGTTCACGTGAAAACAGTCGGAAACATATGGTACAAGTCAAAATGTTTTATATCTACTTTAAAAATAATATGTGTCACAAAGACTTTCTCCTGTAGACCCTTTGACAACCACCAGAGGGGCCTAGATGAAACCTGGACTCATCTGTCCAAATCTAGCCTTCTGATCCTCGGATGCTGTCTGCACTACGCCAGGCGTTTCTGGGGGAGATTTCGAAGCTAAATTGGGCGTATGGCTATTTATTGGGTCTGGAAACATTAATAGGTTAAAACAAACTCGTGCGTGAATGTCATGTTCCCAACAAACACTCAAACATCCAATTTGTGAGCCATGCATGGACTTGCTCTAGCCAACTGTGATTCACGACTCTTAAGGTCATGTAGATAAGTCTGTAAAAATGCATTGAAAGAACTATTATTCTATTTCAGAATAAATGCATTTTTTGTGAAGACGCCTTAAAACTATTTCCTCTAATTTTAGAATTATAAATCACAATGGTCTCGCACATTGGGGTCGAAATAACGATAAGTAAAATGGACTGCTATTTGAATACCTGTAGTTGTATAACTATCGTTGCTATCAGGTTTGCTGGCATTATAAACATTAGATTGTTTCTATATTCAGGAGAATATCATTTATTGGAAATTAATCATGAAACAATATCAAATGTAAATTGATGCTTTTCAGGTGGAAATGTTGAGATGATGAGCACATGGGGCGTGGAAGGCAAGATATATATACAGATTCTACACTTTCTGTTTACCATCGGCACCACCTTGGCACCCGTCATCGTGGAACCATTCTTGTCTGAAAGGAAGACACTCAACGGGACGCTGTGTGACGCATATGAGGTGTTACAGTCATTGAAGTTCAGCGATCGAGCCGATGCCAACAACTCGACTGAAAAATACGTCCTTCTTCCTGAGAGTTGTGTCTTTTCTGAAAATCAGATCCAGTATGCATACATGATAGGAGCGGTACTCAGTTTTCTGTCAGGAATCATGATAACTGCAGAATGTTTTTTCAGTCCACCAGACACGAAAGGTGAAACAAGAAATGAAAATAATCGTAATCCTCGAGTGCTTCCCCAATGGCTGCAAGTTCTTATCCTTGGTAATATTGGTCTCTTCTATTTCTTCAACTGTTCTACCATCAGTGTCATCGTCGGCTACATGATGGCGTACTTTGTAAAGGATCTTGGATGGAGCAAGGAAAAGACTGCCATTTTTGCATCGATTACTTATGCTGGTTTTGCCATCTCACGCTTGCTGTGTGTGATACTAGATCGCGTCCTAACACCTCGTCAGCTTTTGTATATTTCAAATGGTCTATGTGTGTGTTCTCTAGGTGGTCTCTGGCTCAGCGTAATTCACGAGTCTGACGCAGGGATATGGATCTGTATGGTCCTTGCGTCAATAGGAATGTCAGCCATTTTCCCAACTGGACTAGTATATATAGAAAATGATGTCATGAAGGTGTCCGGAATGGTGACGTCAGTCATTTGGGTGGCAGGGAACTTACAGGGAATTGTGAACCCTTTATTGGTAGGTTACCTTTTCCAGACGATATCTTACAAATGGTATATCTACCTCGCTTTTATCGAGGCTATATTAGCTTTTGTGTTTTTCCTGTCAACTGTTCTGATTGTTAGGAGGCTTGTGGAGAAGTATGGCTCTCTTGAGTCGAAAAATACTTTTGATGGGAAGAACATGGAGGAGACATTTATTGAGGAGAATGAGCGGACAAAGAATGTCGAAACCTGTCAGAATGGTCAGACAGAAAATAAGCAAGAAAGTAAGGATGTACCAAAGGAATCAGATCACTTTTCACTTTGAATATAAATATATGTTGAGAGTGAAGGGTCACATTCTTTAGTATTCTGCCTGACAGTGAAAGGTGAGGTGAGGTGAAATTGGGTTTAACGTCGTGCTTGAGAATATTTCGCTCATATGACGACGTGCATGCGTGTGTATGTGTATGTGCGGCTGCTTGTACTAGCCCAGACTTAAGCTGGTTTTATAGTGCTAGCCCACTGAGATACCATGCCACAGTGAAGCATGAATACCCCACTCAGACACATTATACTGACTCCGAGCCGACAAGTCCTTGTTGAACCCATTAATGCCGAGCGCCAGGCAGGGACCAACAAGTACCATATCTTAACGTTTTTTTGTATGACGCGGTCGGGGATCGAACCCGCGACCTTCCGCTCTCCAGGCGGACGCTTTAACCACTACACCACGGAGGCGGTCGACAGTGAAAGGGAGGTCGAGGAGAAGCAGTTAGTAGATGTATGCAACTCTCTTTGAACCAGTAATGACTAACGATAATAGTCATGGGAAACTGAACTAACGGTCATCAGATTACGGCGCTCTTAAGGTAACACAATACATTGAATTCTTGTGGCTTAGATGACTCCATCTTCCGTTGTGTCCCGTTGGATGTTCGCTCGTGTTTTTTATTCGTTGTTTAACGCCACAATATTCAAGCAATATAGAAGCGGTCTGTAAATAAATCTACCTAATTGAGACATGTGTTAGTGGCCTCTTACGACACTCATTGGTTGCTGTAGACCAATTCTAACCCGGATCCACAAGGTGTGCATTTATTATACTCATTCCGGTAAGGTACACTTTCCTCACCACAATTGTAACAAGATTGCTTATTTGGACATAGAGCAAATATATCCATGAGGGGGGAAAAGGTAAAATGGCGATGGAAACTGATACCCATGAACTTTACGACATTCCCTTTACGACATTCTTGGGATGTTATGTTCAAATTAGTTCAGGGTCTTTATGTGGTATATTTTTTCAACGAAAGTGTATACACTAGAAAAGTTAAATTGTCTGAAATTTAGCGTCAGTGAATGATTTTCCATCAAATGTAAAAGTGCAATGTAGAAAATATAACACACTTAACGAGACTGCCCAACACAAACCCATTAGCTTAAGCGACATGTTGGCACGCCTACCTTTACTAGTCTTTGCCAGACTTGCGGCTTGAATGAAAGGTGCGCCCATGGTACGGCCAAAACATGAAGCAAGCGTCTTGGAAAATAACTAGCATAAATGCTGTTTGGAATAGGTCCCCATCATGTCTCAGACGCATCCAAACCAACATATACGACCTTATCGTTTTTGACAGAACAAATGAAATTATAATTGAATAACGGATTCAGGAACACTATGTGGACCTCGGTTACGAAATGTTGTTCGACTCCCCATTGTTCTTTCTTTCTTAGGTTTGGTACCTCCCAAACTCTTGACTATAATTCGGAGAGTATCCGGGTTTGCTATAAAGAACACATCTTCTGGATGATCCAGAAGGCTGCAGTGTTGGGGGGTCTACCTATTCACTGAAATGTTCCTAATTGATTCGACTTGGCAACGGTTCTACACTGACTGGGATGCGTGTAAAGGGGGAAAGGCCCTGGATTGAAAGTGAGGCTAACCAGCTAAAATCCTGCAGTGATTTGTTGGAGCGAGTGAGTGAGTTTAGTTTTATGCCGCACTCAGCAATATCCCAGCTATATGGCGGCGGTCTGTAAATAATCGAGTCTGGACCAGACAATCCACTGATCAACAGCATGAGCATCGATCTGCGTAATTGGGAACCGATGACATGTGTCAACTAAGTCAGCGAGCCTGACCACCCGATCCCGTTAGTAGCCTCTTACGACAAGCATGAAGATCAATATTCTAACCCTGACCTTCACGGGTTGATTTGTTGTAACATCAATTCGAGTTTCATTCTCTTCCCACAGAGGTTACTTGTCATATCTTTCTACGAACCTCTGTTCTAATACGGCCATATTTCCCGGTTCTCGTAAAATCCCCTAGCGGCAAAAGATCGCAACACAAATTATCTCCCTTCTTTCTATCCAAACAGAACACGTGGCATCGAGTTAGATTCAACTTGACTAGTGAGTGAGTGAGTTAAGATTTAAAGTCACATCGGCAATATTTCAGCCATATCGTAACTAAAACTAGTTCTAAATTTGTAATACAGACATATAGTATATAAAACCCTGTCAACAAAGGACAGTAAAAATACTAGATAATCACAGCTATCAATCTAAAACTAGCGAACAAAGCTAAAACATTCCAATTAAAGAAGACAATACAATGTAAAAATGGGCTATAGATCGCCAAGAACTGAAGGTAGATCACCATACTAGGAACCATAGGGACTTACAGTGCCTTTGCTACCTGCATGGACCCTAGCTGGATTTACACCATCCCTTCAGCCATTGGCAGTTATACTGAGATTTAGCCAAACATTAAAAACACAAAAATACTACGATTAATAACCTGGTACACTTAAATTGACTAAATGTTTTGGGACTTACGTACCCTCTCAGGAGGACAATAATTTTACGCTACTTCAACCCCCTTTGAGGGTACAGCCACTAACAATCTATGTTACTTATTTAAATTACCAATAATAAAATATGTATCTATTTACAAATCAGTTAACAAATCTAATTCTTTTAAAAATGCAATAATTAAATGAGAACTTATATTACTAAAAAGATCCTTCATAGTTCGTGATTTGAAATAGATATCCCTTGTGATGGAATATTCAACACAGTCAAGCAAGACATGCTTGACCGTGATTCTTTCATCACAAGGGATACAAAACGGAGGATCCTCACCTTTTAACAGGTATTCATGAGTATATCTGGTGTGACCAATACGACATCGTCGTATGATGACCTCTTCAAATCTGGACTGACAACCCAAGTAGGTGTAACCGATAGTTGGTTTTATTGCATGTAATTTATTAATACCTGCTTGGGTGTCCCACTTCTTCTGCATCAGATCACGGATGTAGGTTCTAATGCTAGCTTTGTAATCAGAGTAAGGAATAAGAAGTGGTGTCACAGATTTGTTAAGTGCTGCCTTAGCAGCAATATCAGCCAGTGTGTTCCCAGAAATGCCAACGTGGCTGGGTAACCAACAAAAGACGATGTCGCATTGGCCAGTAGCAAGCTCATTATACAATTCAATAATTTCTAATAAAAGTGGATGTTTGCAAGAAAGATTTTTAATAGCCTGAAGACACGAAAGAGAATCTGAAAAGATGATATATTGTTTATATTTACGGTGTTTATTAATATATTTAAGAGCTGTTAGTATTGCTTTTGCTTCTGCTGTGAAAATTGAACTGTCATTGGGTAATCTGGAAAATATTGTTTTGGACCCAATGACAGTGGCACAAGCAACCGCGCCACCATCCTTGGACCCATCTGTAAATAAGGATTTATATGTATTATATTTACTTTTTAATTGATTATATTCTTGTTTATATTGGAATTCATTAGTTTCTGCTTTCTTAAACTTAGTCAGTGTGAGGTCGACCTGTGGCCTAACCAATTGCCAAGGAGGAGAAGAAAGAAGACGGGAAGGAGATATATTTTCCAGCTCAATGCCGGCAGCAGTAATGAAAGGCTTAATCCTGAGCCCAAGAGGCGGAACAAGAGAAGATTTCTTGTTGTACAAGTCCTCATACAGAGGATTAAAGATGCAGTGAAACGCAGGATTAGACTCGTTAGAATATAGCTTGGTAATATAATGTAATGATAATTTTATACGACGTTGGGTAAGAGAAGGCTTATCTGCCTCGACGTAGAGACTGTCAACAGGAGATGTTCTGAAGGACCCAAGACAAAGTCTCAGACCTTAATGGTGGACTGAATCTAAGAGTTTTAAGTTGCTTTTACAGGCTCCACCATATACGATGGAGCCATAATCAAGCTTCCAGCGGACAAGTGATCTGTAAAGGTGTAGGAGCGTAGTTTGATCCCCTCCCCACCTTGAATTAGACACGACTTTCAATAAATCGAGTGCCTTCAGGCATTTAGTTTTTAGGGATTTAATATGCGGAAGAAAGGTTAAATGGGAGTCGAAAATCAGACCCAAGAATTTGGCCTCTTTTACAACCTTGATGGGAGTGCCATTTAAAAACAGTTCTGGGTCTTTATGAGGACTCCATTTTCTACAGACGTGTAGATAATTTGCTTTTGATTTAGAAAATTTAAAGCCGTTTTCAAGACACCATTTATTTATTTTATTTAAACACAACTGCAGTTGCCGTTCAATAGTATGCATGTTCTTACCACGACAAGAAATGTTAAAATCATCCACAAAAAGTGATCCATCAATGGAATCGTTTAAAACCTTGGATAAACTGTTGATCTTGATGCTAAATAAAGTGACAGACAAAATACTGCCTTGTGGGACACCCTGATCCTGATTATAATGGTCAGACAGGGTTGAACCCACTCGGACTTGAAATTGCCTGTCTTTTAAAAACTGTGATATAAAAAGAGGTAAACGACCCCTTAAACCAAAATCATGTAAATCCTTTAAAATGCCATGCTTCCAGGTGGTATCGTACGCTTTCTCGAGATCAAAGAATAGCGATACGGCATGTTGTTTATTGACTATTGCATTTTTGACAAAGGATTCTAATCGTACCAAATGATCAATGGTACTACGATTTTTCCTGAAACCACATTGAATATTTGTTATGAGATTATACTGGTTTCAAGATACCATGTTAATCGATTATTTACTATTCGTTCCATGGTTTTACAGACACAACTCGTTAAAGAGATTGGTCTGTAATTAGACGGACCAGGCTTTGGTATAGGGACTACAATGGCATTACGCCACGAAGGTGGGAAATTCCCTGAAGTCCATATTGTGTCAAAAATATTTAGAAGAGTTTCCAAACATGATTCCGGTAAATGCTTCAAGAGCTGATAGTGTATATTATCAGCTCCTATTGCTGTATCATGAGCTTGCTCAAGGGCAGTGTGGAGCTCATGTAATGAAAATAATTCATTATAGTCTTCGCCATTGTCCGAGTTAAAATTTATTCTCTTCTTCTCCTGTTGTTTCTGATACTGTTGAAATTCAGGGACGTAATATGATGAAGAAGAGTGTTTGGCGAGTGTTTCACCAAGCTTATTGGCAATGTCAGCCTTACCAGTTAATATATTGTCACCATCCTTCAGATGGTGAACAGTAGATTTGGAACCTTTGCCCTTAATTCTTTGGATCATGTTCCACACCTTTGAAATCGGTGTGCGTGAATTTATTTTAGAAACATATTTCCTCCAAGACTGACGCTTATTCTGTTTAAATGTACGTCGAGCCTTGGCATTTAAAATTTTTACTTTATTCAAATTATGGACAGTAGGATGTCGCCGAAAATATTTTTCAGCTTTCTTCCTGCTCTTTCTGGCCTGTTTACATTCATTATCAAACCATGGCTTGCGAATATGTGGAACTGCAGAGGACTTAGGTATAGTTTGGTCAGCAATGTCATTGAGTAAATCAGAAAACAACTGTATCGGATCTTCACTGTTCGGAAAAACATCATGTTTTAAGTAATCAGCACATAATGTCTCATATAATGGCCAATCAGCCCTGGCGAAGTTTCTTCTCGATAAAGGTGGATCATCTCCAGGGCTTATTGTTTTGAGAATGGTGGGGAAGTGATCACTCCCACATAGGTCATCATGGACCATCCATTCAAATTCATTATAGAAAATGGAGTCAACAAGTGATAGATCCAGGGAAGAATATGTTCCCGTAGCTGGATGTAAATAAGTGGCTGAATCGTCATTGCAGATACATACATTATTGTCAGAAATGAATTCCTCGATGATTTTACCTTTATTATTAGTATGGACACTTCCCCAAAGCGGGTTGTGTCCGTTCAGATCGCCCATGATAATGCATGGCTTTGGAAGCTGATCGTACAGATTCTGAAGATCTGATTTTCGAACATTAGACGACGGAGGTATATACAAACTGCACAGAGTCAATGCAATGTGCAGAGTAAGTCGAACAGCTATAGTTTGAAGATTCGTCGCAAGTGGGACAGGGCTATGTATGACACCCTGCCGCACCAAAATGGAAGCACCTCCTGTAGCTTTATCTCCTGGAGGAGAGAAGGAGTGGTAATCACTGTATCGTCTTTGATTAAAAATATCGGTATCTTTGAGATATGTCTCTTGAAGACATATTGCTGACGAATGGAAATCTTGTAATAATAACTGTATCTCGTTGAAGTTATTTTTGAGTCCTCTGCAATTCCATTGCATTATCGTGGACGATTGAGTCATGGTGCCTCAATAGGGGATCTTCCTCGGGAATGCGAGGAGGAGTAGCTCCTCTGCCTGTCCTGAGAGGACAGTGTGACCTCCATGTCCAGAGGTCCAAATGGGTTCTCTAAAGGAACCTGCAAAGGTAAAGGGACAGTAGGAGGTTTGTCTTTGTTGATTTTCTTTCCTTTCTTCTTCTTAATTTTATCTATGTCTGGTTGTGAAGCTGACGTTTCTGATGTTGTTTCGGTCTGAATGTCTGTTTGGGATCCAGAAGTAGAGTGTGTAACTACCGGAGAAGATTCACGAGCTGAAGCTGAAGCTGTAAGGGTAGGCTGGGTTGATTTTATCCAAGTCAAGTCAGTTTGACATGAAATGGAAGACGTTGCAACTGGGCGACTGACCGCAGCAGCATAGCTGACATTTGACGGAGGTGAAGTTTCAGTTGTTAACAGTTTTTTGGCATCAAGGTATGAAATATGTTTTTCACATTTTAGTTTCATAATTTTAGATTCTCGTTGAAAAACAGGGCAGGATCTTGATGAAGCAGGATGTGCACCATCACAGTTAGCACACTTGTAATTTTTGTCACAGTCAGAGCCGTCATGGTGATCACCACAACGGTGACATACAACGGTGTTTCGGCATGATTGTGACCCGTGTCCAAATTGCTGACATTTGTAACACCGGAGTGGATTGGGGATATACACATCCACTCCAATGTTAAAATAACCTGCTTTAATCGTCTGCGGGAGAGATGAACGAGTAAACGTCAATAAATAGGTGTTTGTTTTTGTAATGATTCCTTCTTTTTTAATTGTGAATCGTTTAACAGCTGACACACCCTGATCTTCTAGCTCTGCTGCAATGTCCTCCTCTGACATATCAGAGAGACAACGAGCTCTATCTCTGATAATACCACGGCAAGAGTTTAGTGTCCCGTGCACAGACACAGCAACCTCAATATTGGCAAAGGTCTTGACTGACAAAATATTGAGAGATTGCTGTTTCTGTGCACACTCCACAAGAAGCGAGCCACTATGGAGACGAGTAACATTTTTTACTTCTCCACAGATGCCGGAGATAGCCTTGGAAATAGCAAACGGGTTTAACTTGATGGGGAGAAAATCTGCAGCTTCAATTACAAGGAATCGAGCCCAAGAGTCACTGTTAGAAGAAGTGTGTCCAGAAGAGAGATCTAAATCTTCTAAACGTCTTTTCTTTTCATTTCGAGATGAACCAAAAGCTTGAAGTGCCATGATGAAAGGAAATAGATTCGGCACCCCTGCTCCCCACCCACCATGGAGTGTCAACAAGGACGGTGTCAATATGCACCGGATATCCAAAATGCTGACACCAGGGATACAGGGATGGTATACGCCAGAGACAACAACACAAATAGCTGCATTTGTCTACCAATTCCATGCACGACTGGTTCGGCCCAAGACAAGAAATTAGAGACATACATCATTTGGAGGTCATTATCACCAGATTGGCCCATGAGCCACCGCCTTCTGGCATAGGACTCTAGGCAAATGTAAATAATAATACAATTTTCAAAGGCAACATTCAATATCAACATTATATAAATGTACATGAATATAAATTTGAATGTTGTCCATGCACAGGGCATGGCGTGACCAGCCGATTGGTAGAACCGGGCCAGTTCTACCACCCGTCTAGGTGAAGTGAGGGCCGAAGTGGTGTGTTGGGCAAAGGGAACACGGTTCCAGGATCCTATTGCCCTCAACCACCAGACTCCCGTCCTCCACCGACACAGGGGCGCAACCCACGGCAAACAGGTTGGTGGACCAAATATCCCCCCGGGTCCACAACGGGGGTTCGAAGAGCTCTTGGCGTTACCCAGCACCCACCACGAGGAGGTGGCTCTTCACGGGTGCCTCAACTTGACTAACACAAGCAAATGTAGGGCCACAAATATCCCCCATCTGCCGGGACTTGTGTTGATGTTACACACAAGACGTTTAATGGTTAGCTTGTCCGTTGTCAACGAGGGCGATGGAGACGCCACTGATCCGCCATAACATGACTGAGTTCTGTCTAGAAGAAACGTTTGCGGATCGCGCTGGGGAAGAGGTTTAGTTTTCTCGAAGCATACGGAAAGTACCGAGGCCTTGCGAATGATCACTTTTGAAAGAACGTCGCTGATTGCACAACTAAATCTGATTGCCTCCAATCACGAGTCTTGAACGCTCACACCATGAAAGGGCCGTATTAGAACAGAGGTTACGTAGGAAGATATGACAGGAGTAACCTCTGTGGGAAGAGAATGTTCGAGTTTATAAACGGTTGAAGTCTTTTGAGTCGGCCTATTTTGGCCCGAGTAGTTAATACATTGGTAGGTTCAAACATACACCCCTGAAACAAAATTTAAGCATCTCCGGTAATTCTGCTAGCATCATTGGTGTGCACGCACAGTACATTGGTAAAGCTGCATGTTTGTTTGTTTTCTGTAATATTATGTTCGGAATACAAGAAAAACAAAAAAGACCGTTGCATTCAAAGTTTTAATAATGGATATTAATACACAGAATAAGAATTCCGGTTACCTGTTACAAGTATGGAGAGAGGACAAGACAGCATGGCGAGTATGTGATGAGACGAAAACGTCCAAGTGTAACCTTGGAACGTTGGACAATCAATATTTACTGTACCCTGCACGTACTTAAATAACTGCATGTACCCTAAGTCGCTTTAACAACATAGGTCTGATAGCGGTCTACATATTCATAATAATATATAATGGCAATTTATATACCGTTTTTTCCACAAACTTGTGCATGCTAAACGCGCTAACACCTTATCATCCGGGATAACTCAAACTACCTGTGAGGCGCTAGAAGGTTAATAGTCACATGATTTAATCCACCGGGTACCCATTTTCTGCTGGGTGAACAGAGGCAATTTTTAACAAACCCACTTGTCTGAGGTGAGACCACATATATCACATCTGTTTCGTTGAGGGGCAGGACTGAAGTGAAGCTGCCAAACACGGTCACCTATCCAAAACCTGTCCGCACTCAACGTTGCCTAACCTCAACTGAATTGTGACATGAGCTCTATGCACAGGGGGCGGTGGGGTAGCCTAGTGGTTAAAGCGTTCGCTCGTCACGCCGACGACCCGGGTTCGATTCCCCACATGGGTACAAAGTGTGAAGCTCATTTCTGGTGTCCCCCGCCGTGATATTGCTGGAATATTGCTAAAAACGGCTTAGAATAATATTCACTCACTCACTCACTCACTCTATGCACAGGACCACACACCGCCATTTAGTGTTGCTGCTTAACATTTTTCTAGGTGTATACATTTTCACCTGTGCAAGTCACATGCTGGTCTCGCACCGTTCAGTTAATCTTATCTTATAACACCTGATAGGACGACCCAAACTCAACATTAGGCAAACCCCACGGACCTATCGTACATTGGAAAAAACATAGCTATCTTGGATAATTTGTACATTAAAAGGTAAGACGTTTTTTACATTAATCAACCACCACCAAAGTGACTACACGGCACAAACTCTACATTTGATCTTGAGCAATGGTTTGACGGAGTCATACACGTGTTCCGCAAAATGACGTCTTGCGTTACTTGTGACTTCCTCCAACTTACTGAGGTGACTGACTGACTGAGTTTAACGCCGCTTTTTGGCAATATTCCAGCAACATCACGGCGGGGGACACCACAAATGGGCTTCACACAATGTACCCATTGCGGGGATTCGAACCCGGGTCTTCGGCGTGACGAGCCAACGCTTTAACCACAAGGCTACCCCACAATTTATACCCACATGATAATCAAACCCAGGTATTCAGAGCGACAAGACAATGGTTCAGTAAGTCCCGTCAAATGTAGACCACCTTCGTGGTGTAGTGGTTAGAGCGTCCGCCCGGGGATCGGAAGGTCCCGGGTTCGATCCCCGACCGCGTCATACCAAAAGACGTTAAAATATGGTACGTGTTGGTCCCTGCCTGGCGCTGGGCATTAATGGGTTCAACAAGGACTGGTCAGCTCGGAGTCAGTATAATTTGTCTGAGTGGGGTATTCATGCTTCACTGCGGCATGGTATCTCAGTGGGCAAGCACTATAAAACCAGCTTAAGTCTGGGCTAGTACAAGCAGCCGCACATACACACATACACACGCATGCACGTCGTCATATGAGCGAAATATTCTCAAGCACGACGTAAAACCCAATTTCACCTCACCTCACCTCAACTCACCCGGCAAATGTAGCGGAATGTGAGTGTCTCCGATATCCAGGCAAGGTGCCGACCCGGAAAGTAGTCTAATCGTAATCATATCGGCACAAGTATACTCGGTGAATTAAACAGGGCAGCTGGCTCCATTGCTATAAATAAGTAGTACACAAAAGACGTAGTGCTGTGTCCAGTCAAGACAGCTGCTGACCCAGTTCGATTTACAGGTAACAGACAAAAACATGGTCGGTCACATGTCGCAGTTTTTGTGGGAGCTAAGCGTACTTTAATAATCTGATTATGATAGGTTTTTCGAAGGGTTTCTATACAATGTATTTCGAGTATTACATCCAATGATCGAGAAAAACAAAAGCGACTTTGAGCATACATGTATGTATGTATGTATGTATGTATGTATGTATGTATGTATGTATGTATGTATGTATGTATGTATGTATGTATGTACGATGTATGTATGTATGTATGTATGTGGCTGCATGTGTGTGTATATGTGTGTGTATGCATGCATGTATGTGAAGTCCCCTTGCTGCACTGGTTCCGCTCATCTGAATAATGTCATGCTATCCACGGTTTATTATAGAGAAAAATCAACAATAACTTAAAGTCCGGGGTTCAAACCTATACACAGATGGGATGTGTGGCCACGTTGCCCGGTCAACGCTGTCGTGTGATGCAAAGCCGCATTCAAGTTTAGTTCCATGAAATATCACAAAATGGACCTACCGGTTCAGTCTGATATTTAGTCATCGTCACTATATGTTATGTACATATACACTCTTCAAAAAAAGAAACGCAAAACCCAAATATCAATGAAAATTTGGTGTTATTCAAGGACGTGTAGATCAGCGGAAAACAAAAATACATGAATGAAATTTTGTGGAGCAATGCATTGCTATCTTGTCCATATTTCATGAGAATAACAGTCATCACAGTCATTACTGCTGTCCACCAGGTGGTGTTGAAGTCAGTACCTCGTATGACCACCTCCAGCTGCTACCACTGCCCGACACCTCCTGGGTACAGATCGAATCAGTCGTTGGATGTTTTGTTGTGGAATCCTTCTCCATTCCTCCTGCAGCATGTGGAACAACTGTTGAAGATTCTGTGGTGGAATACGACGTCGACGTACCCGTCTATCGATCTGATCCCAAAGGTGTTCGATTGGGTTTAGATCCGGGGATCTGGAGGGCCTGGGGAGGGTATTGATGTTGTTATTGGCCAGGTAGTCCACGGTGGCACGTGCTGTGTGGGGCCTGGCGTTGTCCTGTTGGAAGAGCTGCCGTTGACGGTCAACAAAGTGAAGGAGGTGCGGACGGAGAATCTGGTCGATGTATCGATTGGCCGTCAGATTGCCTTGGACAAGCACAAGTTCCGATCTGCGGGTGTATGAGATCCCTCCCCACACCATAACACTCCCTCCACCGAATCTGTCCACCTGTCTGATGCAGTTAGGAGCAAAACGTTCATGACGTCGTCTGTAGACACGTTCTCTACCATCATGTCGCCTGAGGAGATAACGGGATTCATCGCTAAACCATATGCGCCTCCAGTTTGCCAGGTTCCATGGCAGCACCGTGTTACACCATCTCACTCGTCGACGTCGATGTAGTCGTGTCAATGAGGGGGCAACTTTTGGACGTTTGGCACGTATTCCTACTGCTCGGAGACGGTTCCTGATTGTCTGATCGGACACTCTTCGGGCTCCAAACTGTTCTTGTGCTGTGTCCCGGGCAGTACGATGGCGGTCACGTAGGTGGGTTACCCGGATGTACCGATCTTGGGCAGGTGTGTTGACTCTAGGTCTTCCTGATCTTGGACGGTCATTTGTCGATTTTGTTTGACGAAATCAATCCCACAATCGAGTTATTCTGCTGGGATGAACGTTGAAGATCCTTGCCACCTCACTCTTTGATTCGCCAGCTTGCAATCGTCCACTTGCCTGATTTCGATCGGCAGCGTTGAGACGTCCCATTTTCGTGTACACTACTTGCAAAGATTGTGGATGAAATTGTGAGATTCATTTGGGTCTTTTATAGTCACATGCTGTACGCATGCTTTGCATGTGAGAAACAATCATTGTGCCCGATATTCGTGCTGCATGACATCCACGCACATCATGACAATCCTGATTGATAAAACCGTTCAAAATCATTTTTGGTTGCGTTTGGTCAAGCATGATCTTCTAAAACATTCCAGAAACAATGTGCAACCCTAAAAAAATGTTTGAGTTTACATATGTGTACAACATTGTAAGTAGCATTCTTGAATTTCATTTTGCGTTTCTTTTTTTGAAGAGTGTATATGGTTATATCGACGATTTCTCCACTAACTTGGGGGAACCAACTGCAAACTTTATGCAAATGAATTGCACGAGGATCATGCATCAAATTGCTGAAAAGCATGTGCAAATATTGTGCATGTGAACATTGTGCAAGAAAGTGGCTATATTTACACTAGTGAGTCTAAACCTTTGGTGAGAAGTATTAAAATCCAGATTTGAATTCCCCACTATGTCAGTCAGGTTGCGAGAAAAGGGAGGAGGAGAGGGGAGGCGGGCGAAAGTTTCATTCATGGCTGGCTGGGAGAATGACCCTATTTGATGCTGACATCACGATGCTGAAGATTATGATTTCAGAAATAAGTAAAATTTGAAATTTCATCTATGCAAATCAAGTAATCTCTTTGAACAACAAAATATGCGGCGAAACGGTTTTTGGACATTTACTATAAGGCACATGTTTGTTCTAGAAGTAACTTCCAAGGTTAACCTTTGACATCGCGAGGCACCCACAGTCGTTACACTCCCGTCACTCATGGCCAGATAAAATCTACACCGCTGAGGCCTAGCCAATCGGACATTAACTGGAAACCCATGGTTTATTTGATTTTGAAGTTCGCACCCCGGCCTTTAACAGAAGCCACGTCTAACAAGTTTTGGTAATCTTGAATTAACCACTGATCGTGTGTTGCGACTACCCGGGCCTCAGACAGGTCACTGTGGATAAGAACTTGTTCATAATGTAGCTTCCAGCCTGTTAGTGTCTGTGATGTTCAATATTCCACACAAGATATTATATCGCTGTTATACATTTCTATGGTAATTAATTACACATGTGTAATAAAACGCGTGTAGTGCTAACAGCTGAAGAGATGGTGTAAATCCGGCTAGGGTCCATGCAGGAAGCAAATGTACTGTAAGTCCCATGGTCCCTACTATAGTGATCTACCTTCAGTTGTTGGCGATCTATAGCCTATTTTTATGATGCATTGTCATCTAGAGTTAAATTTTTTTAGTGTTCATTACTAGTTTTAAATTGAAATCTGTCATAAACTAGTTGTTTTACTGTCTTTCGTTGACAGGGTTTTATAATTTACCTTTATATATTATGAACTTATAACTTGCAACATATGTTATATTTGGGATTACACTTTCTCAGTAAAGTACACCTTCTAGTACTTTGTGGGGGTTGAGTCCCATTCGGGATTCGAACCCACACCCTCATAGTATGGCAACAAATCGCCAGCACACAAAGTCACATTGACATTGATTTTACACATTGACTGTAACATAAACAAACGAATTGATCGGTAAGCAATGTGAGTGAGTGAGTTAAATGTTTAACGTTCCCATCGGCAATATTTTAGCCATATCGTGACTAGAACAATATAATTTTTATCAACATTAAAATCAATAGCTTGAGAACATAAAAATTTCTGTCATCGAAGGACAGTAAAACTACTGGAGTATAACAGCTCTTAATTTAAAACTACTACGCTATCATAAAAACGATTTCACTATAAACAACGATACAATATATAAACGGGCTATACATCACCAGCAACGGAAGGCTGATCACCATACTAGGGACCATGGGGACTTACAGTACTTTGGCTACCTGCATGGACGATAAGCAATGCTCAGGTGAAATCATTTATTATATTTTGTGTCAAAAGTAAAATAATGCAATGCATATCACAATAAAATGGGCAATTAACGCATTATCAAAACCACGTCATCATTACCGATGCAACATTCATGATGTCAAGCCCTGAAACCCGTATTTTGTCATCATAGAGATGCTTTCTCATTTTACTTCTTAAACAAACGTCTATTTTGTTAGTGATCAATATTGAAAAGTCAGTGGATTGATAGGACTCCCCAATCGTTTCTTGAAGTACACATTCATAGCCATAGCATAAAGCTAGTGTGCATCTTTTACGAATCAGTTTTAGTATTTGTCTTTGGGTATTAACGTTTCGAAAAAGAACCAATTCTTTCAAGTTCATTTTTACGTTTTATCATGTTTACATTAATCATCACAGTCTAAAGCAATCTGCTTACCTTGTTTTCATCGCTAAATGGCTGTAATATTGCCGATGCGATGTAAAATTTTAACTCTCTCACTCACTAAAATAATCTACATGACTACAAGACAGTAAGTCATATTGTATAATGTGTTGTATCATATTGTAATCCCTACAAAATACATCCACACATAGTTTTGTCTGCACTCATGCACCAGTACATCTCCCTATCACAATTACCCGTGTGTATTTTCTATTTAATCCCAGTACATGCACGATTAACAGCCTGCGCCCAATCGAGGAATGTATAGCAGGCCGTGTTTAATTCTGATGACGTTTTGTCATTAATATCCACTGTCTGTATTGTTAGCTTCTAGTTGTAATTGTGTTAAACCGCATGGAGGCATCGCTAAAAATGAAATATGTGCATTGATGGAAGAGGTTATTGGAAAGTCATGTGTGATCAAACAATAATGCTTAGATAAACACTGCCACAGCTTGCACTGCCAATGGAAGAGTACTTTTACATATTTCACAATGCTTTATTGAATCCCAATGATTTTGATTACAGAAGTTGTACAATCTACTGGCTGTATTACGATTCTGAAAGGTGTCTTCAAAACACATAAATGAACAAATTCAAAGGTTTGATACACTTCTTGTATATATTTCCATGAAGCTACAACAAAAATAGCCGACATATATATTCAACTATAAGCATCGCCATAATGAACTTTTAACTGATTGATGACACAATTCAAAAACAAATGCAAAACGTTTTGAGACACAACACTGGGTCTTGCATGTCTGTTGTGGGAAAATCGTCACAAAAGCTTCTATGGTCATATTCATTTTTTTTAATAATATGAAAAAAACACGAATATCCTCGTTCATAAATATTAATATTGATTTGATGTCAGTAAGTATAATGTGCATCAGAGGGAAATACCTGCGGAAGGAGTCGACTACGGTTCTGACTTTATCATGACAATATCTATACGAGTATTCATCACTATCAGCTAAAAAAAAGGAATTTGCAATGGTACCCAAGATGATCTCCGGTAACTTGGGAAGCAATTGTCAGCATGCTTACCTCCCTTTCTCCCTCATTTCTTCTACCTCAACTGAGCCATTCGGTTCTCCTGAAATCTGCGTACAAGTGTACACGTAACGTTTAAGATTGCTTTCATCGATTCAGTTTGTCATGGGGCCTGAAACCGCCAGACCAACACCGGAAACAGTTCACTTCCGGCAACAATTACAAGATCCCAAGAACCGCCGGAAGTTCATCCACACATCGATATTTTACTTTTCGTTCATAGCACTGGTGAGTCTCGTATATGTCCATGTTTTAAAATTTCAATTTTATTAATCTTAAATTTAATATTTTTATTATTGAAATATTGCCGATGTAACGATACATATGGCAAATGTACTGTAAGTCCCCATGGTCCCTAGTATGGTGATCTACCTTCAGTTGTTGGCAGTCTATAACCCGTTTTCATATAGTTAAAATGTTTTAAATTTAATTACTAGTTTTTTAATTTACATCTGTCATAAACTAGTTGTTATACTTCGCTGACAGGTTTTTATAATTATATTTATCAAAAATATATAACTTGATATAGTCACAATATGGCTGAAATACTGCCGATGTGACTCATTTTAACTCACTCACTACGATACATGTAAACTCACTCGATCACCAATGTTTTTGAATGTATGTGATACCTGCAGTCAGCTTGAAAACGGTAACGACAAACACTTCCACACATTTTACTGAAATGCTCAAGAAGATGCAATCGAATCCTCCTCGGTCTTACACACAGAACATGACCATCATTGAAATTTACTCTGCATACATGAAAGTCTGGCTTAAAATCCCTAAATTTACCGACGCACAAATGCAAATTCTCAAATCGTCCAGAATGCCTCATTATTCATTTTTTGTTCACAGGGTATTTGCCGTGCCCAACATGGCCCAGCATTCTTGGACCTGGCGCAGATCACTGGTAGCAATGTAGAGGAGGCATCGGTCTTCTATACGTCCCTTGCGGTAGGGGGACTTGTGGGCTCAGTCATCATGGGTGTCCTCCTTGAGAAATTCCCCAAACACAGGCAAGCCCTTCTGGCCAGTTCGTGCCTCCTGACCGCTGCTAGTGCCTGCGTTATACCATGGAGTAGAAACTACATCCTGACCATATGTCTTTGTGGTGTTAATGGGATATTAACAAGTGCCTTTGATTCAGGTATGCAGTACAATTATTATGATTCGAATAAATAACTGGAAAATAGCAGTTGTACTTGCTGGATAGCAGTTGTACTTGCTGGACGAAAGGGTGTAAATGCAATGTTATTGCCAATAACACGATAACATTATGTAGAGGCTTAACACCGAATAGTGTTATTGACAAAACGTCTACAAAGTAACAGGCTACACAGTGACTCTGGTGGTCGGGTTGTGTAAGAATCAATCAAAATGCAAATATCGGTTGTGAACGCCATTTACATTGAGTTTAGACAACAGAGACGTAATGACACAGAACAGATGATGACTAAGCCGGGGGTGGTGGGTGGGTTAACATTACTGCCTGGTTGGTTCTGATCCTGTCATAGATGTTTACCGTCTGATCCTAGCTATGTTCATGTGGAAGTGGTCTGCAGAAAGAGCCGTGTCTCAAAATGTATGCTTTTGGTGCGAGCGTGCAGTTATCCAACCCGGTTACACAAATCAAACCACTTAAATTGACATTAACAATGATGATTTGTGTTTACCAATGTGTTGGCCATACAATTACACTTCCATCCCCAAACTGCCGATATGGCTGAAAAATTGCCACAAAACCCTTCCCATATCCATACGAAATCTCTGCTAAAAAACATTTGACAGTACAGTTCCGACTATATTATGAGCATGTATTTGTGTGTTTAAAGCAACACTCAGCAATATTTCAGTTGTATGACGGCGGTATGTAAATAATTGATGTAACCCAAATGATACAGCGTTTGACATAATGGGATACGATGACACAGTATGTGGTTCTGAATCACAACCAAACAACGATGATACTAGGTGCCCTCCTTCTCAACCGGTGTCATTCGTCATACACATATAAAGGCTAATCAATTGTTCAACTGAAAATAGTTCTGGACTAATGGTACAAAAGTTAATATTTGTCACTGAAAAGTCCTTAGATGTCTACCATAACACACAAGTGTCGTTCTGACATTCTCCTGGGTCCATGTACAGCCTTGAACGGCCTTCGCAGCTGACAAGATTAAACATGGACTCACTTGTGAAAATGTTCTGTCCAGTTCATGCTTTCTGATCCTCAAATGATGTCCGCACCTGTGTCTGAGGGAGACAGCAAAGTATGGCGTATGGCTGAACATAGGGGCTGGAAACAATCAAACTGTTTTTCGTGTTTATGCTAACATACATCCAAATTTGTCCGCCATGCATGAATGTTCTCATGTAAAATTGTGATTCAAGACAATCAGGTTAAGGGGATATGTCGATGAATATGTATTGAAAGAAAAATTATTTGATTTCAGAATAAATAATATTTCCCAATTATTTCATAACTATAGATCACACTGGTCTCGTACAACGGAAGGTTAAGTAGTGAGGACAGCTACTGAATACCTGTAATTGTATAAAGTATATGCATATAATTTAGATTAATATTTGCTTTATCTTAGTTTTCAATCTGGTCGACAGTTTACACATTGGGTTGCTCATATATTCAGAATAAATTATCTATTGCAAATTTGTATTGTTTTTCAGGTGGAAATGTTGACATGCTGAGCACATGGGGCGTGGAAGGCAAGCTGTTTATACAGATTCTACACTTCTTCTTTGCCATCGGCACCATCCTAGCACCCCTTATCGTGGAACCCTTCTTGGCTGAAAGGAAGACATTCAATGGAACACTCTGTGGCATCTATGACATATCAAAGTCTTTTAACTACAGCGACGGACCCATAACCGGCAACTCAACTGCAAACAACATCCTTCTCCCTGAGAGTTGTGTCCCTTCTGAAAGTCAGATCCAGTATGCATACATGATAGCAGCTTCATTCGGTTTTCTGGCTGGAATCATGATAACTGCAGAATGTTGTTTCAGTCCCCCAGACACGAAAGGTAAAACAAGAAATGAAAACAATCGTAATCCTCGAGTGCTTCCCAAATGGCTGCAAGTGCTTATTCTTGGTAATGTTGGACTCTTCTATTTCTTCAACTGTTCCTCCATCAGTGTCATCGTCGGTTATATGATGGCGTATTTTGTAAAGGATCTTGGATGGAGCAAGGAAAAGACTGCCAATTTGGCGTCAGTCTTTTGGGCGGGTTATGCTGCCTCACGCTTGCTCTGTGTGATACTAGATCGCATCCTAACACCTCGTCAGCTGTTATATATTTCTAATGGTCTAAGTGTGTTGTCTTTAGGTGGTCTCTGGCTCAGCATTATTCACGAGTCTGAGGCGGGGATCTGGATCTGCCTGGTACTTTCGTCAATAGGAATGTCATCCATTTTCCCAACTGGACTTTTATATCTTGAAAATGATGTAATGAAGGTGTCCGGAATGGTGACATCAGTCATCTGGGTGGCAGGAAACTTTCAAGGAGTTGTGAACCCTTTGTTGATAGGTTACCTATTCCAGATGGTATCCTACAAATGGTACATCTACCTTAGTTTCATTGAGGCTATATTGGCTTTTGTGTTTTTCCTGTCCACTGTTCTGATTGTAAAAACACTTTTGGAGAAGTATGGCTCTCTTGAGGTGCAAAGTTCAGGCGATGAGAAGATCACGGAGGAGGCATTTATTGAGGAGAATGAAAGAACAAAGAATAACAAGCATGTCTGAATAGTTAGACTTACATTGTAAAGATACATAATTATGCTTTGAGGTAAAGAGTGTGCCCATGGCACATATAAACAAAGGAATAAAATTACTTTAAACACTGTTATGTTGTAAATATTTGAAAGAGTGATGCTTTACAAACACATAAAGCAGCTCTTGAACAGTACATCGTGGCTTCCGCATGCCAATGAAAAGAAGGACAAGGAGAAACAGCTATTGGATATTTGAAACAATGATGAATGGATTAGTTCGGACAAAGTAACGATTATAGTCAGGGTAGATTGAACTGCTGATCTTCAGATGGTGATGTTCTTAATGAACACAGCTAATCCTTGTGGTATGGACTATTTGACCAGTCATTGTATCTCATTCTGAATATCAACAGGAGTGAGTGAGTACGGTTTTATGCCGCTTCTAGCAATGTCTTAGCAATATCACGCCAAAAATAGGCTTCACACACAGTACCCATGTGTGGGTGGTATGCGAACGCTTTAACCATTAGGCTACCCCAGAATGCCAGGTATACATTTATTATACTTTATTCCGGTAACGAGCACGTTTCTGTCCGCAAAATGGACTGCTGATGCGGCGGTTCAGCAAATATTTGATTCGGGGAAGAATGGTAAATAGGCGATCGAAAAGATACCATGGATTTAGGCTTACTTTACATTATGGGCGTGCTGTCTTAAAATAATTATGTGGTCTTTATGTGGCATTTAGTTCCGTCGAAAGGGGATAAAATATAATTACGTTTCTTATGCACCGTTTTCTGAGTCTACTTAAACATAGCTGCAGCTGCCTTTATCTATTCATATTTGCTTACTATTAATATTTTTTGCCACAGCATAAAAAGAAATTCAACTGAATCATTTAAAAGTTTTGATCAACTTCAGTACGAAATAATGTGACAGACAAAATACTGCCTTGTGGAACACACTCGTCCTGATTATAATGAACAAACAACATTTAGCCAGCGCAGCTTTGAAATCGGCTGTCAGTTAAAATCCGGGATATGAACTGAGGTAAACATACTTGTTAATTATGCCATTTAAAGAAAAAAGAGATTCTAAACGTCAACAAATGAACTACAGTGATTTTCATTAAAACCCCATTGAATATTGTGATGATATTTTTATATTCAAAGTGCCATGTTACTCTATAGTTGACCATGTAGTTAGTCAATCCATTTTGTCGATAACTTAAGAGATTGGTTTGATCACGTCGAGTATTGGGCATGGCCATGATAACATTTTCCCCATGATAACACAGGACTTAGGAAGCTGTAATAAACTGCTTGAAGTTCAGACTATTGTACAGAATAAGATGGTAGAGAATCTGAAGTCAGAACAATGTTCAGTGTTACATGTATTTACTACACTAATCTAAAGAGGGTTATAAAGTTAAACAGATCTGTGAATGACAGCCTTCCTCATCTCAACAGATAATCTTCTAATTGCACACCTGAAGCAAAAAAGCAATGATAGAAGTAATATTTTCTTAAATCAGTTTTGACAGTGGTTTTGAGGAAATTCCGAGGGTGTTAATTCTTGAACAATAGTTCTGAATAGTCCAGTAAGTGTCAATACGGAACATGGCAATGAGATTAACTGGCCCGAGATAAACTCAGGAGCAAAAGAGAGAGAGAGCGAGAGTTATTATTTAACGTCACAACAGCAATATTTCAGCCATATCGTGACGAGAACATATGTGACAGTGAAATGGAAGATATGTATATTATAAAAACTTGTCGACGAAGGACAGTAAAGCAACTAGAATATCACAATTACAACTAAAACTAGTGTGAAAAATTGAAACTAATAGCACTATTTGGACAATACAATATAAAAACTGGCTATAGATCGACAACAATTGCAACTGAAGGTAGATCACCAAACTAGGGACCATGGGGACTTACAGTACTTTTGCTACCTGCACGGACCCTAGTTGGATTTATATCACCCCTTCAGCCGCTGGCGATTGAAGTCAAATTTAGTCAAAATTATAATGACAAGAATACTACATTTTAAACAGCTGGTAATATTTAAATTTCCTTTGAATCGGGACTTACGCAGGGGCAAAAGAAAAGCTCCCATGTATGCTCACAGCCACAAACAGAAGCACACTCTCTTCAATAATGGTTGTGCACAATAACATACACACAACGAAAAGCTTCCATTTACAGTTCTGAAGACAGGTTTGTCACAGGGAGGTTGACTGTTCAGTATTTGACCACACTAGCATATGAGGAAAAAAGACATAACGACAATGAAGCGTCAAAGTGAGCGGAAGTACCTTAATTGATACATGACTCAACACGAGTAACCAAATCTTCTGACAACACGCTCGCTGATCTGACGCCACTGCCAGCGCATTCCTGATTACCGAGGCTGTTGACGTAGCCAATGTTCCGCAGAAGACATTGTAAATTGATGCTTCAAATTCACTCAGTAAATTGGAATCTGGGCGCCAGTGCCAGCGTATTCATGGTCAGCAAGGCTGTTGACGTTGTCGTACCCAACGTCCCAGATGGTCCCGAGTGGTGCTCTATCAGGAGATTTTGCTTGCCAGAGAAGGACGTTCTCGTTGTTGGCGTTTAAGAAGTTATTTCTGCCAATTACTGTATGATGGGTGGCGTTGTACTGTTGGTACAATATTTTTGTTTCGTCGGAGGAAGTACAACAGGCAACAAAACATCCATTATATGCGACGAACCGTGATATTGCTATCTATAACAAGCAAGTCGGTCTTCCCGTTCCCACAATTGCCTCTCCGAACCTTCCATTCGTGACCAACTCGTGTTATTCCAGGACAAGCCGAATAGCGACTCGTGCCCCTCTGGAAGGATTTCATATTGGCGCATGAACATCAGAAGTACTTTAAACAAGAACGATAACTCTATCCTTGTTTGATTCCAATGTTTCTAAAAAATCACCGAAGCACATGTAAATTGTATTGCTAGGTTGTTGTTTTGGTGTTTTTTTCACTTACTTATTTTAAAGAATTAAACCTCTTAGAAACAACACATGACAAGTATCGAGTGGGGGACGAGTCTTCTTGGAGGTTACGGAAAGGGGCGAGTGGTGACGAATGCACACTCCCATCTCCGCCAGGCTCCACTTCCGGTGGATGCAACAACATGACACATGTACAGCCATCATCTTTGTTGAGATGAAACCTGCGTGTATCGCTTAACAGTACCTACAACTAAAGGAACAGCGCGAAAAGCGAGATGCTCGTGCACTAGTGACGTCAGAGACATGTGATTACTGCTGATTGACAAATGAGAGAAAATGAAAGTCTTCACAAAGTCTATGATTTTCATGACAGTTTCTTAAACAACGGTTTTATTTTGGTGACACAAATTATGCATTTTTTTCTAGAGTTGGTTTGATTCTTGTGTGTCTATTTGTTTTTGTGTTAGATTGCAATTCATCGGTATGATTTTGTGTCAAACGGACTGTATGAGTGTTTTCGCTGCTGCAACAGACGAACACTCCTGCACCACCTCAAACGTCTTCGTCGATGTTCAAACGTCACCGTTATGTCTTTGGACGGCAGCTAGGCTCGGAGACTCTGTTGAAGGAATCGTCCGGACATTGTCCATCTGCTGATTGGATGCCCAAGGCTGTTTCTGGTAGATGACGTCACAGTGAGAATTCTGCTCCCAAAATGACGATCTTCCTACGGTCTTTCGGTCGTGGTGACGTCTGATGCTCGGCTATTTTGTCGGTGGCGTGTGGCCACTCTGGCAATAAACACATAATTCCTCCAACATGGCCCTGAGTTGTAGGACGGATGGCCGTTCAGAAAAAGTACAATATTTCTAATCGATTCTCATACGGTGATATATATTTCTGCGTACCGCGTGTATACATTCGGCTTATTTGCAAAACAAACTTGCAACACGTTTTCTTCTGAACTGTCATGCATGTGGCACTCGTGAGACGTATTGCAAGCTATATACGGGAATGTGAGTGAGTGAGTAAGGGTTTACGACGCTTTTAGCAATATTTCAGCTATCACGAGAGACTATGGTTTCATGACCATATGGAGATGAATGAATAATGCCTACATGCACATATCTCTATGGGGTCATATCCAAATATGATGAATAAGTCAGTCAGTACAGGGAACATTTGGATTCAACATATTCTTTGTATGCAGATGGCAGCTCATTATGGAACTAATTGCAATTCCGGTCAAACAAGCGTGAAGGAGATCGATGAAACCAATTAAAGATAAATATGAAATTAAAAAGGCACCAGCTGTTGTGAGCACAGCGCATGCTTGGTGGTGGATCTGCATTACATCACGACCAGAGAGCAGCCCGTCTGGATCATCCGCCGAAGCCATCCCATGCAATTGCCCACAGAGCTGTAACAACCTATTGAACAGAGCACCTAAAACTCGTGAGGACGCCAATCACTAGCTAAAAGGCCAACCACCCACACAATCTTCAAAAAGACGTAAGTGTTCTTTGTATTCTGAATAGAGAATACTACCCATGTTTTAGTTTAGTCTTTAAGCGAGATGTTACAAACATTGTCAGAAGAAAGGATGCGTTTTGTAAAAGTTGTCAGATCAGTGGTATATGACAGGCACGAGTGAGACAAACTTCCACCATTCTTGCTTCGAATGATCCGTATTTTGTCCGTCCGCCCGGAGAGAGGAAGGTCTCGGGTTCGATCCCCGACCGCGTCATACCAAAAGACGTTCAAATATGGTACTTGTTGGTCCCTGCCTGGCGCTCGGCATTACTGGGTACAACAAGGACTGGTCAGCTCGGAGTCAGTATAATGTGTCTGAGTGGGGTATTCATGCTTCACTGCGGCATGGTATCTCAGTGGGCTAGCACTATAAAACCAGCTTAAGTCTGGGCTAGTACAAGCAGCCGCACTTACACATACACATGCATGCACGTCGTCATATGAGCGAAATATTCTCAAGCACGTCGTTAAACCCAATTTCACCTCACCTCACCGTATTTTGTCTATTCTCGCTGTGGCGCATCAATACATCACACAAACGACATTAGAGACGTCACCTGGCCTATTGCTCCCACCCATCCCTGGGGTTACCCTGCACAATAAAAAATTTCCACCATAATCGTGGATTATCAAAACAATTTTGAAACAACTTGCTAGAAAAGACCAGATAAGCTCTATTTACAATTCTGATTAACAAAGACGCAGGTGGTGAAATCTATCGAGGCAACCTATGAATGAAATACAATCAGGACAGTAGTCCGTCATAATTTGACCTTGCCAGAGACTAGCCAATGACGGGTCTGGTATTCGATGTCATATGTTGGTTACCTGTTATCACAAATGAGTTACACAGCACAGGTGAATAACACATACATATTTTACAATCGTGAGTGATATAACAAACTGCGATAATCCAGCTACTTGGCCGACCATGACTTCAAGACATATACCCGAGAAACAAACCCTGTCGGCAATGGAGAGTAATAAAACTATAATAAAGATAAAGGTATAAAACTGGTATGGGAGCATTAAAAGTATAACCGTTGATAACAATACAATGTAAACATGGGCTACAGATCACTGGCAGACAAAGCCAGGTCACCACGCTAAGAATTTCCAGGTCAAGCCTCGATTATTTACAAACCACCGTTCATATAGCTGGAACAATAAACAAACAAATCACACTAGGGAGGCTCTTTAAGCATATGTGCTAATTTGATCAAGCTCTTTAACACTTGCCCTGATAACATTAACCATTAGAAAGGTGTTCCGTCCGTGTATATCCATATCACATGGAATATCACACGAAGAAAATTTACGCTTTTCCCCTCGAATGTCAACAATTGCATATGAGCGTTAGTTAGGGTCTAAGTTTTATTCAGAAATAATAAAGCTATTCACGTCCATCAGGCCCGGTGTGTTGTTGGTGCTTTTTAGTTTGAGCTCGGAGATCACCTGGTAGCGGTGTTCTTCATGATTTGATTTCTCTTTAAATGTGTTTCGTCTCAAAGTCATTGGATGACATTTATAAGTGAAAGACATAACGTTAAACATGTGGACGAGGGGTTAAAGCGTTCGCTCGTTACGTCGAAGACCCGGGTTCGATTCTCCACATGGGTTCAATGTGTGTTGCCCATGTCTGGTGTCCCCCGATGTGGTATTGCTGTAATATTGCAAAAATCGGCGTAAAACCAAACTCACTCACTCCAAGATTAAGATGACGGCTGTGATAATGACTGTAATACTATTCGGATTAGTTGTTAGGCGTTCATCCAACCGTACAGATACCTTTACGTCGAGCTGAGTAATATCATACACATTACGTGTATATTTATAAGTCGATTATTTTCGGTATGCCTTTGTAGTGGTAAACCGTTATTGATAATCCTTGTTTTAGACAACATAACCTTAGTTGAGTTGTATAAATCGATCAAGTTCTGTACGCTTCACAAGCAGTGAAACAAATGTGACTTGGCACAAACATGTGTAAGTTAAAAGTGCCAGAGAAAAAAAAACTATCATTGACATCGTTCCTGCTATTTCTCCGCTCAACGTTTCGAACTAAAGCTTGTATCTGATACACATGAAAAATAACATCTGCATCATTACTAAAACTGACGTGGATATAAATATCCGTCGCACTCGTTCGTTTAAACATTTACATAAATCGTGCGCTGGCCTCAAGTCGACATGCCCCACCCCACACCGTGACTAACCATAGGTGCTTTCAGCTCTCTGTGACATCTGGAGTTAATGAATGGTTTCATTCTGAATTTTCAACAAAGAAAAAAGTCATGTTGACATGAGTTCACCGCGAACACAACACACGTCATGTCATGTATATTCTTTGGTTAGAAGTATTGTAGTAACCTTGTGAAAAACCGTCGGAAATTTTGTACCGCAGACTAAATACTTTCTCATAATAATATCTTGATACGATCCTTAGTTGTAAAGAGCCAGTCCATGTGGGTGGTTTTAGCTGGTGGAATGGTTTGAAACGCTGCTTGTGGTATTCCTATGGTGCTGTTAGTTTTTTAACTTTTGTGGAAATCAGACCTTTAATGTATACAGTATAGTTCCCCGGGATATCAGGACACCTTACGGACATATTAGTATACTATTTAACAAAAGAAACGCATAACCTAGAAATCTGTTGCGAAAATGTATTTTCAACATGTATAACTCGTTCACAAATAGACTTTAGTACATGACGTTTTACATCGGTTTAGAAGACGATAATGTGTATACAACCAAGTGGATAATATTAGATAACGGAGACGTTGAGCGCGATGGTGACCACGTAGCATGGTCCCGACGTCGGGTCTCCTGGCTCTAGGTCCAATCTCTCGCAACCTGTTGCGTACAGTTTGACCGGATATCCTCCGAAGACCAGGCATCCTGGCTGCTGTGCTCTCACCCGTGGCAGTACGATCACGCAAATGTAGTACCATGATGTACCGATCTTGGGCTGCAGTGGTGACTCGAGGTCTGCCTGTACGGGGATGGTCATTTGTTGTACCTGTTTGGTTGTAACGAGCTGCAGTGATGTCGCGCTCAGACTAACATTCATACGCCTGTCAACAGAAAATTGATAATCTCCAGCGTGCATTCTTCAATGGCGATGTTCGGTGTCGCAGCTTTAAGACGTGGCGTAGTGATTTGACCTTGAAACTCCTTCAAAACGAATGCTGATTTCCTAAAGTAATCTGGATTCCTATAGCCAGACAGTGCATTTTCTTTGCTGCACACTTTCAACTGGAGAGTGATTTCTCTTGCGTTGTTGCGATGCCTTTTTGATTCTTGTAAGAAATCTCATCAAATCAAACATTTTCAGGTCAAGTCGATTTTTCACTTGTGCAATAGTGTAAAATCATGTTATCATCACTTTTGTTACATATTTTGACGATTGTATGAACACAATTGGTAATTAATAGATTCTTAAGAATACAAAGCGCCTATGCGTTTCTTTTTTGGGATAGTATATTTAATTTAAAATGCAAAGTAAAAGATATGCATTTTGAACCGTTTACAACCTTGTATGTGATTGTATCGCTCACAGTTTCATCTTTCCAATATCAGCACAAACTATTTCACCCGAACCAACAACCCTGAATATGCTTATGTACCGACTGCTAAGTATTCCGGCATTGGTTGCTCATGTGGTTGCTATATACGTGAGAATAAAGTGAGGGACAAGGACTGGTTTTCCTTTGTCAAGAGAAAATGTAACTATGAGCGAGTGAGTGAGTTTAGTTTTACGCTGCTTTTAGCAATATTCCAGCAATATCACGGCGGGAAATCGAAACCCGGGTCTTCGGCGTGACGAGCGAACGCCTTTACCACTAGGCTACCCCACCGCCCCATATATAACTATGAACAAGTCCGTAATACAACATGATTTTGTTCCGATATGTGCTATCTATATCTCCGTGTGAATTAACCTTGAGTCAACGTACATATTCAAATATATAAAAGCTTAACTCAGGCTTTTGACACATCAGCTTATGCATAATATAGTATTGTTATATGTCCAAAACCAGCATCAATTTACGTAAATCTAGTCTATATTATTCGTGAGAATATATACAAAATTGTAGGTCTATTGGGACCCGCAAAATTACACGTGATATACGTGGATTGTCAAATGAACATGAAAGTAGCGAATTCTTATCTAAAGATGGCGTTGGATGAACATGACATATCTTAACTGTTTGTGACTTATCACCGCACGTTAACAATTTGTTTGCAGATAAGCCATATTGGGACCAGAGGGAATTTGCACTATTTCATATCAATAACAAACGTAACAACTGACCTAGAGAACGAAATGTTGGTGGCAAAATCCTTTCCATAGTCACAACAAATCCATGACATTGTCACGACACCGTTCGTTGTGTACGTCCGACTATGTCATGGGCTTGCGTTTGCAAGCTACTATCAAACAAGTGGTCCGTACCAAACGTTTAGCCTATACCACAAAGACGATCTTCTGTTAATTGTGAAAGTATTTTCTACAATGCGGCACAGCATGATTATCTATCTAAATAGCTCCCTACCTCCCACCCCAGTAAATTAGGAATCAAATTTCTCATTGCTTGCATCCCAAGTCCTTCCCGAATCCTGTCTTCTATGTTATATACTCAATATGCTTAATTATATTTCAGATTGTCATGGGGCCTGAATCCGTCAGGTCAAGGCCGGGAACAGTTCACTTTCGGCAGCAACTACAGGATCCCGAGTACCGCCGGAAGTTCATCCACACCCTGATACTGTACTTTGCGTTCACAGTCATGGTAAGTCTCGTCTATGTCCATGAATTCCAATATACTAAAACGTTGTTGTTGAACGTTTTGTGCTGATCATTCCATTCAGATATTTGGTATCAACAGACTCAGATGCACTGCCTTCTAATATCCTTACAGTTTCCCCTGGGTAAACAACAGGCGGGCTTCTATTCAGCCACTAACCAAAAGACGGCGTGTGCCTGAAATTTGCAACACAAGGAATTCATTCCTTGTAAGGCATCATTGTTGAACAAATTGGGGTCACAACTTTGAAATTGTTATGGAGGCCGTCCAATGCCTTAACCCCAAGAGTGGCAACTTTAAAATTGCTTTAGACTGTATTATGTTGTCACTGCAGAAACTGGAAAAAGAGGAAATAGAATTTGAATAAAACCATATTCCCTCAGCCAGCTGTCATCCATGCAGTTTGTTCACCCAGTAGGAAAAGGTGTATTGTGTGTAGTAGTGGTGGTCCGATTATTGAAATAATCGAAGATTGGTCGCAGTGCCTAAACAACCAAGCAATCGATTGTGTGTTTCTCATAATCGAACACAACCAATTTTGGAACATTTGTTTGCATCAACAACATTTTTCACAAGGTTGGTTTTGTCTGTGTCATTAAATTTACATTTCATAAGCACTACAAGCTCGTTCCAAGTCATGGTTGAATTTATCTTAAGGAATCCAGGAAATATGTGTTACTTACATACTAATCATCCTTTACATATGCGAAATTTGCCAATGGATTTTGTGCAATTTGCAAACCCCAAATTACTACATGTTTTTTCTTTATTTTTTGTGTGTGCATTAACAAAGATAACAGGAACATTTGATAAATGACGCCAACCAATTATTTTCGATGATTGATCGGTTGTAATGAACCAATCATCAATTATGAGATTTTAACCAGTTCCCAACACTAGTGAGTAGTTGATGTACTCCTTGAGGTTCCGGATCGATTCACCGTAAATAGTTTGACCCGGGTTGTTTCACCCATTTCAAAACTAAACCAGCGGGCAAAAGAAAGTATAGGTCCTCTTTCAGTATCACTAAATCACAAACGAAAGACAATATCTTGGTGAAGTGATTTTTTTTATCCAGTCATCAAAAGACAATAGTCAACACAAAGAAACACCATTGGATTGTTTCAACACCAGTCATAACATTGAATGAAACATACCGGTGGTAGAATTTGATGAATCCATTTTTACTCTGTTCTCACTGTTGATAACACTGTACACGACCATGAAGCTCTACCATTGTCAATAACGCGTGTCACCTCCTGCACAGGCAAATTGTAGCGCAAATAGGGTTGCGCAACAAAGAGAAAATGACCAGTCTTTCCATATGCGAGCGAAGCGAGCAAAGGTTTGCAACGTGCTTCCCTCGCTTCGGTTCAAAAAATATGTCGAAATAAAATATCGCCATCATCAAAGGTAGACACCAATGTCCTCACAGAGTTGTGACGTGGTTAAACATCGGATGACGTCAGCAGGTATGCGGTTCCATTCCTCTCTGAGGGCACGTCCCAGTTATTGACGGTCATGTGGAATGGGTATACGGCGCCTGATTTGCCTGTTCAAGTGATCCCATAAGTGCGAGGACAGGCCACGGCAGAACATGAACGTTGTTTTGCTGCAAGACGTTGGTTGTTGCTCTTGCTGTGTGGGGCCTCGCGTTATCATGATGGAATATGACACCCTGTGGCTGTGTTTGCAAGAAAGGCAAGACAGCTGGCTGCAGAACTTGTTGAATGTACTGATGTGCGTTCAATGTCCATTTATCAGCTCCAATGTTGATTTTTTTACGTCACCACAGATACCGCCCCATACCATCACACCACCACCACCGTAAGAATGAACTTCCTGGATGCATGGACGTGCTGTACGTTCACCGCGACGTCGGTACACACGTTGTCTGCCATCATTACGGTACAGGCTGAAGCGGCTTTCGTCTGTGAATAGGACTCGTCGCCACTTCCGTACTTGCCACCTGTAAACTTGTCCTGCCCACTGCAGTCGATTACGCCGATGTTGTGGGGTCAAGGCCATGCCACGGAAGGGCAGATAGGCCCGAGTTCTTGCTGCACGCAGTCTTCTCGACACTGTACGTCGACTGATACCATGACCCAGTGCCGTCTCCGCTGGTGCCGTTGCTGTCACAAAACGGTTGCGCAGGTGAATCGGCCGGATGTAGCGGTCTTGCGGCGTTGTGACACGTGGTCTTTCACTCCCGTATCTGTCTTGGGTCCGATCAGTCTGCCTGGACACTTCCAGTGGATTGTGTAGTGGAAAGTTTGGGCAATATGAGCTTGGGTACAATGGGTAGCTCCCATTTCGGTCATTTCAACGGCTCTCTCCCTCTCTTTCTTCCTGGGTCAACCGTGGAATTCCTCTTGTGTGTTTTCACCTGCTGTAATACTGCAGCATTCGGCAACTCCATTTAAACCACATTTCTGCACGTGCATTTCATGAAATTGAACTTAACCACAATTCACATTTTTTTCCGCGTTTTAGACCTCCAGCACCACATGATACGTTTCTGTGATGTGCACAAAACTTTGGGAACGTATGCAGTCATGTCTATAATCACTCACATTTGGTTTTCTTAAAAACGTTCACTTCACAACAATTTGAAAAACGTATTCTTTCTTTTGCCTGCATGTTTAGGTCAATTCATCCCATAATAGGGGTTTTCTCACCCCTAATGAAGAGTTGTTTCACCAACTAATAGAGTACACATGGAGAATGGTATTAATGCATACATCTGTTAGTCTTAATTAGGCAATGTTTCTACAACAATCAGATAAGTGCTACTGCGTCTGTGTTGAGATGGCACATAGGACTTAAGCATATATCTCATCTTATCTCACCTCACCTCATCACGCTTAAACCATTGTAAAAGTAAGTCAACATTGAGTTAGACATTACACTTACATTTCTGCCATGGTGACTGCATGTTTGGAGATCTGCCTCAGCTGCCTCTGTCTGGTCTGGTCTGTCTGCATGTTATTACACAATGTTCTTATAGACCCACCCCTTATATGCATATTACCCATAGGCATTTGATTAATAATTTTTATTTGATACCTTTGAAATATTCAATGAGTAAATGTAATCTGTAAATTGTTATTTTCAATAAACTGACTATTTACTTGTCTATAGTGTCTGTTTCGGACTTCATCCGACCCGGGTGAAACTACCTCTAAATTGGGTGGAACAAACCGGGTGAAACAGCCTGGGGTGAAACTGTGCTGGGGTGAACGTGTTTGGGGTGAAATAACCCGTTACCCTCCTTGTAGTATCATACCATGATAATTAAGCATCACTCCTTCGACAGTTTGATATAAGACATTGTTCGAGTGAATGTGACATGAATGCAACATAGGCAGTCAATAGCAGTCAAATGTCCAATAACCTTCCGCTGACTTACCCACCTGATGGAGTAATGATAGACACGCAAACCATCACATATAGATGCACGGAGACGGAAACCTCTCCACAATACAGGAGTGAGTGAGTGAGATACGATTTTAAGTGGCATCGGCAGTACTTCAGCCATATCGTAACATTTTAAGTATTAAAGACAATACAATATAAATACAGACAATAGATCACCAACAACTGAAGGTAGGTCACCATACTAGGGACCACAGTACCTTTGCTTCCTGCATGGACCCAAGCTGAAGTTACACCATACCTTCTGGTGTTAACAATTGAAAAAAAATCTGGCTTAAAATAACTATTCACAATACATATTACTCAAAATTTTGAAAACAACTCTGTTTATTTAAAAACAAATATCAAAGGATAATTGACATGCATAAAAACACCCTTCAATGTTTTCACAAATATTGATCCCTTGTGATGGCAAAATCAGTACAGTCAGTCACCGAGAAGAAGTACGGTTGATCTGAGTTAACGCTCAGCACGTACATTTGTTTCACGGTAAAACTATGAGGATTCGCAATCTAATTTCCCCTTTTGCGGTATACTTTTTGTTTAAAGTGAAATTCATCGGTACGTTTTCACTGCAAACAGACTATAGGTATAACCAACAGTGGGTTTCATTTAATTTCATGTAATTTATTGATACCTACTTCTACGTATTGTCAGACTTCACGGATGTAAGTTTTAATGATGGGTTTGTAATCAATATATGGGAGTAGAAACGGTGGCCAAAATATTACAAATTACAACATTATCCAGCAAGGATCATGAAATAATACTTTAAGATTAATTGCCTACATCTAATATTTGACATGACAGCTCATAATTTAGAACATAAATGACATGCCGGCCACAGAACGTGTGCTTTCCCAGTATCAATACATTCAGCTCATTTTGCAGAAAAATGCAGATTGTGATGACATGAAATCGTGTTACAAAGTTACATTGATGACTTTATACATGATATATAACATAAATGCTACATTATGGTTCCTCTAGGGTTAATTATAAACATAACCATCAGCGTTAATGCACAGCATTACAACAGCTGTGTCAACAAGAGTGACAGATGTAAATCAGCATTGTCCTAATCGGGAATAAAAAAATGAATGAAAACGGCAGTCGCACAAAACTGTTACCATGGAACAGAACAGCGCCAGTATCGCGTAAAACGGATACCATCAGTATGTTCAGAAGCCATAACCACAAGCTCAGGATATATATAATTGCCTTCGACTTTGCTTTTAGAAGAGATAATCAGTCAAATCTATCTAAATTCACTCATTTCCCGTACATTTACAAAGTACTGTAAATTCACTCACTGGCTGTAAATTCTAATATCCATCATACTTTCACCATTTGATCAACTGTAAATTCAGTCACTGACTGTAAATTCTCATTTTCATCATGAATTCATCATTTGATCAAATATATATTTCATCAACTGACTGTACATTCTCATATTCATAAATAATTTCAATGTCAAAACATGTTAATTCAAATTTAATCATTTCATTTTTAAAATAAATAGAGTTATTAGATAAAATTTGGATTGAAGTTGTGTAAATAGATTAATATTTTATAATTAGTAGTTTAAATTAACAACTTATGTTGCTCGTGGCTGTACTGTAAAGTACTGTAAAATTATTGTCCTCCTCATAGGATACGTAAGTCCCAAAACAATTGAAATAAATTTAATGCCCGTTGCATGCTACTACACAAAACCCTCATTAGATTCTCAGCATGTTTTTTATTTGACACTATAATCCGTTATCAGTAGTGTTTGGTCGTAGCAGTGAGTACCTCCTAATTAATTCCTTCAACTCAATTAGCCCTAATTAGTTTACACTACCGTATCCCTTTGATTCACGCCGCACCGTGCACGTGTGTAAACGTATGGAAACAACCTCAGTTCAGAGGGATACTTGCCCATGAAAGGTAGACAGACAGACAGACAGATAATTTATTACGTCTCACTGCATGGACATCATAAAAAATAGACAGAATAACAAATGACCAGTAAAAACACATGCACCATTCCTTATGGAATTATGAGAAACTAAATCTAAAATATATACAAGCTACTAAAAGCCATAGAAAAAACGTTTCCGCTAAAAAGGAAAATTAAAAAAATATATGTCTATACACAATTTAACTGCTATACAGCAACCATCGCCTCTAGATAGAATAAGGAATATGGTTTTGCCAACACTACTTCACTACTTTTGGTAACTTCATAATTTGACATTAAAAAACAAAATTTCTGTTCTTTGTTAAGATTGAAAAAATCACCATAGACAGTACAAATATTAATTGGTAAACAATTCCGATCGCAGGTCATAGTACATTGAGCACTTCAGTAAAACATGCACTTCATCTTCAATACAATTATCATTGCACAACGGACAGGTGCGTTCCTCCACAGGTAATTTTTCATAACGCCCGTTTCAAGTCTATTTGGAGCAACCCCGCATCTAAATTTGGCAAAAGCGCTTCTATAACATTTTGGGAAAAGAATATCAACATGTGTTCGGTAAAATAACCAGTTTTAAAAAGTTTATATGTACGTAATTTACCCGTGGTATTGGATACATCTTCAGACCACGATTCAACAAGCATTGCAGAGTACATTTCTAACATAAGATCAACATTTGAACAAGGTAAAAATACATTTACATTACAATACAGTTCCATACCATGCTGGGTAAAAAAAAAAGAGCGTACACTAAAATTCCAATTTTAACAATGACGTGACTGACAACTCTCACTCCATATGAATACCTTTCTATTCAATCTATCCCTATCCATGTTGACTAATCTTCTCCAGTGTCTTAACACAGCTTTCCACTTGGAAACAGGCAGAGGCGTCCAACCCATATCTCCATTCACAGCATGATTTGGCGTATACTTTCCAACTCCGAGGAAATATCTGCAGGCCTGATTCTGTACCTTATTAATAACACTAAAATCTTTAACGCCCCATACAGCAGCACCATACCTAATGATAGGTAAAACAACAGACTCATACAATTTTCTAAAAGCATTATGCGGCATACCTCCCATGGCTTTGCACTTGGCAATAATAAGACTTCAGTGCCCTACTGGCAGAGTGGGCAACAGCCTTAGCGGTAACATTAAAGTCCAGATGTTCCTGTAACACAGGGCCAATGTATGTATACGTATCTACCATATTCAGTAAAAGATCACCACATGTAAAAGGTGTAGCAGTCTTTGCTACGAATGGGTTTCTCAAGTGAACAACCTTTGATTTGTCACTGTTAACTGTCATACTGTTTCTAGAGCTGTTCAAACAATCCAGCATTACTTGCACATCTCTCTCATTCTCGGCCAATAGCACCAGGTCATCTGCATACAATAATAACATACATATAATATCATTCCCAACTTTCACTCCTTTCCCTAAGCCTTTCAGAGCCACAGCCAGGTCATTCATGTAAATAATTGAACAAAAGGGGAGATAATAAACAGCCTTGCTTCACTCCATAGTTAACTGTAACCCAGTCCGTCCTGAACCCGTTAACTCTCACAACTGGAGACACCCGTTAACTCTCACACAACTGGAGACACTCGTGTATATCGCGTGTAGCGCACGCCGCATGTTTACTGTAAACCAGTCCGTGCTGAACCCGTTAACTCTCGCACAACTGGAGACACCCGTGTATATCGCGTGTAGCGCACGCGTATGTTTCCCTGAATTCCCAACTCGTCTATTCGTCTCCATGGTATGTCTCTGCTAATCGAGTCATAGGCCTTCCTGAAGTCTATGAACGCGGCAAATGTGGATAACTTCTTTTTCTTTCTCGTATCGACGCTAGACGTCTCCGCCCATGATCCACCGTGCTCCTGCTCCACCGTGCTCCTGCCCCACCGTGCTCCTGCCCTTCCCGAAGCCGCTCTGTTCCTCCACGAGTATGTCATTTCTCTCCGCCCATGTTGTTAGTCTGAAGTTCAGTATGTTGCAGTAGAGCTTGTACACAACTGAGGATAGTGTAATTCCTCTGTAAGATAGAGGGTCTCTAGGATCTGCACCGTTATCTTTACGAATAGGGACGATGATACTTCGCTTCCATATATCTGGGATCACACCATTACTGTAACAGGTATTAAAAAGATTTAACAAAAAGTTCAAGGTAGTTTCATTACGCAGAACTTCAATGGGAATATCATCTGGGCCAGCTGATTTACCATTGTTTACACAACCAAAGGCTAATCTGAGTTCCTCCTTCGTGATACGGTCATCAAACAACACATCTGTAGACACAGGTTCTCTTCCAGACTCAGTCACGTCAACTTCATTCTGTACATTCAGCAACTCCTCGTAGTCATTTCTCCATCTTCCCAGCACTTCCGGTACAGACTGTGATACAGAACCATCTGTGTTTTCCGAGCTCACTCGCTATCCACAAGTTCACTTGCACGCTCCACTTTAAGCTCCTTATAACATACTAGAATCGCGTGCGGGATAATACATTAATCTACAACAGTCAAGCCGCGTCTAGAAATAGAAGTATAATCATTCTTCACATAATTTCTACCATTCAGTATACGCATGTTACACTTTATCAGAAAATCACACAAAATATCCCCATACTTGTATTTGGTAAAATCAATCACATCTCTCTGAGTCACAACGTCCACACCTTCAATATAATCACATGCATCACCCACTCGACAATTGAAATCGCCACATATTGTAACACGTCCAAACATTTGAAATTCATATACATTAAACAACAAAGATTCTATAAATTCATACACATCCACAACTCTCCTGGGATTCTCAGGTGGTAAATAACACACACTATAACTGTGTTGCACACATGACATCTTATCTATAATACTAAACCACAGGATACCATCATATGATTTATCTAATACTTTTATATCATAGTTCTCAAATAAAGCGTCTCTAATAGAAAATCCAACACCGCCGGAACCACTCTTAGCCCGTCGATGTATAGTAGTGTTGGGAATTGGTTCAAATCTCATAACTGATGATTGGTTCATTACTACCGATCAATCATCGAAAATAATTGGTTAGCGTCATTTATGAAATTTGCTCATGCACATACAAATAAGGAAAAAAACATGTAGTTCTTTAAGGGTTTTTTGACAAAGTTTCACATCTTTAAAGGATGACTAGTGTGTTGGGAACATAAATTTCTGGGAATGTTTAAGATAAATTCAATCATGGCTTGAAACGAGCTTGCAGTTCTTACGAAATATAACAGACAAAACCAACCATGTGAAAAATATTGTTAATGAAAACAAGTGTTCCAGAATTGTTTGTGTTCGATTATGAGAAATTATGATCGATTGCTTGGTCGTTTAGTCACTACGACCAATCTTCGATTATTTCAATTAATCGGACCACCACTAATGTATAGTAAGTCTGTTGTGCCCCATCCATACGTAACCGGGGACATGTATGACGTCATTCCCTATCAGGTGTGTTTCTGCGATACCAATAATGTCTAAGTCACAATTCTGCACACAAGAACATCGTGCAATGTTTTTGCCTGGTGTACCATTAGTGTTCCAACTGTTAACGTACCAGGTAGGTGATTATCGAGTTTCTTTGCAAATATCGAGTTAAAATGGTAATTTTGCTTGTTGGGACCGCGAAATTTATATCGAGATATCCGAAATATCGAGACATCCGTATCGAGTTAAAAGAGCTTGAATGATGATAAATTATGAAGGATTTTGCCGGGACCGAGATGTTATATCGAGACAACCGAGATATCGAGTTATCACAGTTCGACACAACGGTGTTCGACTGTATTTGTAACCGCAGTATATACGGTATTTTAATTTATGTGCTACATTGTCACAAGCTGCTAACATCTGAAGGGATGGTGTAACTCCAGTTTGTTTTCATGCAGGAAGCAAATGTATTGTGAGTCCCCCATGATCTACCTTGTTGGCAGTCTGTAGCCTGTTTCTATATTGTGTTGTAATCTAAAGTTAACATTTTTTAGATTTAATTACTAGTTTTTTATATTTATATCTGTGATAATATGGTTATTTTACTGTCCTTCGGTGACAGGTTTAAAAAGATTTCCTTCAATTACTATAAATCTATAACTTGATTTAGTCACGATATGGCTGAAATACTGCCGATGGGACTTAAAATCTGAACTCACTCACTCACTCATATTCATCACGAATTCACCATTTGATCAACACATGATCAAGATACAGTCGGATTTGCACAACAGACTTATCTCTGAACAGAGCTTTCTTATGAATGTGGAAAGGGTCTTCTATTTACAGGGTGTTTGTCGTGCCATGCACGACTCGGCATTCTTGGACCTGGCTCAGATCACTGGGAGCAATGTAGAGGAGGCATCGGTCTTCTATACATCCTTTGCGGCAGGGGGACTTGTGGGATCAGTCTTCATGGGTGTCCTCCTTGATAAATTGGCCAAACACAGGCAAGCCCTTCTGGCCGGCATTGTTCTTCTGAGCGTTGTCTGCACAAGCGCCATACCATGGAGCACGATCTACGTCTTGACCATTTCCATATTTTTTGTTAATGGGATATTAACAATGGCCCTTGATTCAGGTAAATCGTTATTCCTTTGTAGGAATTAAACTCAGGAATAAAGTTTGCAACATGTAACGTACGTTACATTTGGGGTTGCACTTTCTCATCTTATCTGTTCAATTCTAAGAACCTGCTGCCGAATACGAACCCTTCCGAGATTCGAACCCGCACCCACGGAGACAGGGACTTAATCTTCAGCACGTTAATCTATCATTTGCTGACATTGTGTGCTGGCTATTAGATCCCTGACTCGGAGAGCATGGGTTCGAATCTCGGATGGGACTAAACCTAACAAAAGTACTATAGCCTGTACTTTACTGAGAACGTGTAATCCCAAATATAGTATGACCAGAAATTATTGAGAATTTTAGGAATATGTTTAATTGGATTTCTAGTATAAACAACCTTGACCAGCTATAAAGTGCTTGGTTTCATTCAAGAGAGACAACTCCGTTAATCCTTTTTCATTACTTTGTGAAGAGTTATCCCCCTTTGTTTACTTGCTAGCAGACGACATTTTCAGTGATCCTCAGTATGGATGATTTAGAGAAGAGAAAGATGATTTTAGAGTATTATAACAAGGACATCAAATCAGCTAAAGTGATTTCAAGTAGAACAGGCATCCCTTTGTCCACTGGTTATCGTGTTTTGAAAAATATTGCAAATGGATATTGCATTGAGCACCATGGAGGCGCAGGTAGGCCCAGAAAATTGACTGTCGGTGACAGGAGGCGGCTTGGTATTCATGTTTCTAAAAACAAACGAAGGAGTTTAGAAAACTTAAGGCTGGATATGATTGATAGAGGAACTGTGGCTTTCTGTAAGGAGACAATTAGAGCTGAGTTGCATGCAATGGGTTGGCAGAAAAGTCGAGGAATTCCATCACGATCATGAAACCTGAACAAAAGGAGCGAAGGTTGAACTGGTGCTTACTGGGACAATGTGATTTGCTCAGATGAAAGTTCCGTGTGGCTGTTTCCTAATACACTGAAATTCTGGACCAAACAAACTGAAAAACCTTTGTATCAGCGCCCAAAGTACAGTCCGAAATTTAACGTATGGGGTGGCATATCTGTGTTAGGGGCAACGCCCCTCTTTGTATTTGAAGGGAATATGAACAGTGAGCGGTACACAGATATTCTCGAGGGACATTTACTTCCATCTGCTCACGTGTTCTATGGAAATGTTTGGATTTTCCAGCAGGACAACGACCCAAAACATCGTTCAAAGCATTCACAGACCTGGTTTCGGACCCAAAATATGACATTATTAGATTGGCCAAACTATAGCCCTGACCTAAATCCAATAGAAAATGTTTGGGGACTTATTAAGGAAAGTGTCAATAAGAAAAATCTGACAAATATTGCTGAAATGAAAGAAGAGGTGGTCCGATATTGGGACAGCATGGACCACGACTTTCTAACTTCTTTGATCAGTAGTATGCCCCACCGCATTGAAGCCTGCATTGCTGCCCATGGTGACTTGACAAAATACTAACTGTTCACCCGTCTTTGAATCTGAGTTATGTTCTGCTAATATTTACATTGAATACGTGAGTAATGAGTGAATTGTTTTTACAAAATTGACAATCTTTAAATTCTCAATAATTTCTGGTTGTACTATATAAGATATGAACACTATATTTTATCACTTTCTAAATATATATCACAATGGGAAGAACTGGAAACTATGAGTTAAAAATCCTCAGACTAGAATCTGATGTGATCAAAGTAACGAAAAATTGAACGAAAAACTAGTTGGCTATTTAGTTATGAACCATCTGGAATTCTTTAAATAATTTTTTATACTGAATAGGCGTATATATATAAATCTGAATTAAAAACAAACCACGCCGGCTGCTTAAAAATGTAATAGAATATAATAACATGTTTCTGATATGGTTTTGAAAAATACCAAATGTAGCTTGATGTTTTTCAGGTGGAAATGCTGACATGCTGAGCACATGGGGCGTGGGAGGCAAGATGTTTATGCAGATTCTACACTTTGTCTATGCCATCGGCACCATCTTAGCACCCCTCGTCGTGGAACCCTTCTTGGCAGAACAGAAAACACTCAATGCGACACTCTGTAACATATATGAGGTATCAAAGGCATATAACTACAGCGATGGATCCAATAACTTGAACGAAAGAACCTTCCTTCTTCCTGAGAACTGTGTCCCTTCCGAAAGTCAGATCCAGTATGCATACATGATAGCAGCTTCACTCAGTTTTCTGTCAGGAATCATGATAACTGCAGAATGCTTTTTCAGTCCCCCAGACACGAAAGGTAAAACAAGAAAAGAGAATCATCGTAATCCTCGAGTGCTTCCCAAATGGCTGCAAGTGCTTATCCTCGGTAATATTGCCCTCTTTTATTTCTTCAGCTGTTCTATCTTCAGTGTCACCGTCGGCTACATGATGGCGTACTTTGTAAAGGATCTTGGATGGAGCAAGGAAAAGACTGCCAATTTGACATCAGTCTTTCGGGCGGGTTATGCTGCCTCACGCTTGCTCTGTGTGCTGCTTTATCGAGTCCTAACACCTCGTGAGCTTTTGTATATTTCTAATGGTCTAAGTGTGTTGTCTTTAGGTGGTCTCTGGCTCAGCATAATTTATGAGTTTGAGGCGGGGATCTGGATCTGCATGGTTCTTGCGTCAATAGGACTGTCAGCAATTTTCCCAACTGGACTTATATATATAGAAAATGATGTCATGAAGGTGTCCGGAATGGTGACGTCAGTCATCTGGGTGGCAGCGAACTTACAGGGAATTGTGAACCCTTTGTTGGTAGGTTACCTTTTCCAGACGATATCTTACAAATGGTACATCTACCTCGCTTTCATCGAGGCTATACTGGCTTGTGTGTTTTTGGTGTCTATTATCGTAATTGTGAAAACGCTTGTGCATAGACACGGCTCTGTTAAATTGGAAAATGCGTTTGATGCAAAAGACATTGGGGAGACATTCGTCAAAAAGAACGAGAGAACAGATAATAATGTTGAAACACAAAGCAACTTTGACGCTATATCACGGCGAGTTGATAATAGTGGAGTCCGGAGTGAACGATCCAGTGTAGTGTTATGAACCTGAATCTTGCCATCATGCTCATTGAATGCGATGAAGAACATCAACCAATTGAGCGAGCCTGCAACCAGATCCTGTTATTCTCCTCTCTAATCGTGATCTTCATGATTGTTGTGTAGCGGTCATAAAATTTCCGAGTCCATTGCTGGGATTCGAACCGCGGACCTTCTGATCCGAAGTCGGCGCCTTGTCCACATGACCAAAGAGGTTAACCCCTGTCAGTAAGCTGACAAGGTAAGGATGGCATCTGTGGGATGACTCCACGTCCTGTTTCTGTTGGTTGGTTGGTTTATCGATCTACGCAATTGGGATACGAAGATATGTGTCAAACAAGTCAGTGAACCTGACAACCCGATCCCGCTCTTACTACATGCATGGGTTGGTGCAGATCAATTCAAATCCGAATCTTCACGGGGCTCCTCGTGATTGCGCAGGAAGGGGAGAGTGTAAGTACAACCAAATGAATTAAACAATTTAAAAATATTATTGAATATTATTTTATGATGGTAAGGTTTTGTGTGAGTGTGAAGGTTTTTAAAACGTGTGTCAGCTGTGTCACATGGAGCTTGCATAGGGATTGTGGGGTGGCTTTGTGGTTAAAGCTTTCGTTCGACACGACGGGTACCCAAGTTTGATTCCGATCTTAAGGACACAGTTCATTTCTGGTGTCCACTGCCGTGATATCGCTGAAATACTGAAATGGAGTTCCTATTTAACTCATAATAAAGGAGGACGATGGAGTAGCCAAATGGTTAAAGCGTTAGCTCGTCACATTGAAATCCCGAGTTCGATTCCCCATATGTCTACAACGTGTGAAGGCCATTTCTGGTGTCCGCCGCCGTGAAATTGCTAGAATATCGCTAAAAGCGGTTTAAAACCGAATTCAATCACTCACTCACTCATAATACCTTAAAGGGATGAGATGAAGGAGATTCATGTATTGGTAACGCTGGATGCGGGTGCCACTAGACGAATTCTGCCCCCCAAAAATGGTCGTCGGGTTCTGGTCCAAAATATTGCGTTTGGTCCAACCGAAGCCCACTTGATGTGAATGTGAACGTAATTATTATTTATCTTGTGTACAGGACTTTATGATGGCTACTAGGAACGTGTTTGGGCGCTTCTATTGCCCTCGCAACAAAGCAGAAATCTCATTGTACATACAGCCCAGCACTAATTTGCCATTAAGCCAGCGCCGTGAATAAACTTAGCTTATAGACAACACATTTAAACATAGTTCACTCGTTCAACTTGCCGCACAGATGGTAAATCAGTGTATTTTTGTGAATATTCATTGTTTGCTCAAATTTCATACTGCATCAGGAGGGATAGTGTACATCCTGCTGGGTAACTGTGACGGAAGCAGCAGTATTGTAAGTCTCTTATAAGGTGATTTACCTTAAGTTTCTGGCGGTCTGTTATAAGGTGATTTACCTTTAGTTTCTGGTGGTCTCTTATAATATGATTTACCTTTAGTTTCTGGCGGTCTCTTATAATATGATTTACCTTAAGTTTCTGGTGGTCTCTTATAAGGTGATTTACCTTTATTCTAATTAGTTTCTGGTGGTCTCTTATAAGGTGATTTACCTTTAGTTTCTGGTGGTCTCTTATAAGGTGATTTACCTTTAGTTTCTGGCGGTCTGTTATAAGGTGAGTTACCTTTAGTTTCTGGCGGTCTCTTATGAGGTGATTTACCTTTAGTTTCTGGTTGTCTCTTATAAGGTGATTTACCTTTAGTTTCTGGCGGTCTCTTATGAGGTGAGTTACCTTTAGTTTCTGACGGTTTCTTATAAGGTGATTTACCTTTGGTTTCTGGTGGTCTCTTATGAGGTGATTTACCTTTAGTTTCTGGCGGTCTGTTATAAGGTGAGTTACCTTTAGTTTCTGGCGGTCTCTTATGAGGTGATTTACCTTTAGTTTCTGGTGGTCTCTTATAAGGTGATTTACCTTTAGTTTCTGGCGGTCTCTTATGAGGTGATTTACCTTTAGTTTCTGGTTGTCTCTTATGAGGTGATTTACCTTTAGTTTCTGGCGGTCTCTTATGAGGTGATTTACCTTTAGTTTCTGGCGGTCTCTTATGAGGTGATTTACCTTTAGTTTCTGACGGTTTCTTTTAAGGTGATTTACCTTTAGTTTCTGGTTGTCTCTTATGAGGTGATTTACCTTTAGTTTCTGGCGGTCTCTTATGAGGTGATTTACCTTAAGTTTCTGGCGGTGTCTTATGAGGTGATTTACCTTTAGTTTCTGGCGGTCTGCTATAAGGTGATTTACCTTTAGTTTCTGGCGGTCTGTTATAAGGTGAGTTACCTTTAGTTTCTGGCGGTCTCTTATGAGGTGATTTACCTTTAGTTTCTGGCGGTTTCTTATAAGGTGATTTACCTTTAGTTTCTGGCGGTCTATCGTCCATTCATTTTGCATGTTCATTTATAGAGATACTTCATGGTTACATACTCGTAGTAAACATCTGTGGTATTTTGGTGACATGGTTCCCTTTATTGACAACATGTACTTAGTTTCTATGTATGTAGCTCTTCTAGTCACGATGTGCCTGAAATACTGCCGTTGTTACTTTAAAGATTATCTCACCCACTCCAGTTGTAGCACACATTTAATCGCAACCTTTTACAATTTTCAACAGGACTAGGAGATATATGTACTCTGTTTTGTGTCAGTTTTTTTATAGTTATATATTTAAAATATACAAAACCAAATTAAAAAAAACCCCACCATATATACCGTAGCCCAAATACACAGAGGTATTATTCCAATGGGCGTCCCACAATTTTGGATAGTATGCATGTGGCGAGGTCGAGGTCGACATGCATATTGTGCAACATTCTTTGTAATGAACCTGAATACTGTCGACCATACACTGTTACATGGATTGATTGATTGATTGTTTTATGTTTAACGCCGGCAATATTCCAGCTGTATGGCTGCGGTCTGTAAATAATCGAGTCTGGACCAGACAATCCAGTGATCAACAGCATCAGCATCGATCTACGATGACGTGTGTCAACCAAGTCAGTGAGCCTGACCACCCGATCCCGTTAGTTGCCTCTTACGACAAGCAGGGATTGGTGAAGATCAATTCTAAACCGGATATTCACTGGTCTGTTACATGGAAGCGTCATATTGTACAAAATACTTGGTAACATACACTGAAACATACACTTTGGTGAGTTAGTTAATATCTATCGACAAATCGGTGATACTTCAGTCATACCGTTACTAAACAAGTGAAGGAATGATAATAAATAAAGTTCGATTGTATCATCTGTGGGAATTAAAACACCAAATTATAGTTTTAAATATAGCATCTCACTTCAAAATAATTATACTATTCAGGACAATGCAGTTTAAAAATGGGCCAATCGCCATCAAGTGAAGGTGGATCACCATACACAGGACCAAAAGCCGGATAGCAAACCATTGAAATAAACGTAAATACAGTAGGAAATACATGCCATGACCGGACTTACGTATGTTTTCAGATATTTCCTAACTTCGGGCATATATTTCATATGAATCTATACCTTTGAAACATATGCTCAGCGTACATTTTCGTATGCACAAGTACCATGACCGGATTGTCAAGTATTTCCAAACACGAATTGCAAAACAGATACCCCAGTAAATACATGATCATACAGTATTTCCGATGCATTTCTTTGAATTTCAATGGGTGCTGAAATTTCCGATTTCGTTCTAAGTTTACTCAGGTTGGAAACATGTAAATTTACGTAGGTGGAGAAACACATGTAAATTTTCAAATTTGCAAATGTTTACACACCTTAGATATTTATCATACCGGATTTCAAGGGTATGTATATGAACGGTTCATACACCTTCATGTTACCTGTGCTCAAGCAAGATAATCATTTGTTTCCATCACGTGAATTACTTTGTTCATGTAATTTCATTTTCGCACATTTTAGTACGTTTGAAATTACCGTTCACGTGACCTCATTATTCTTATCATCAAAAGAGCCTGACTAAGAAAGCAATATTACGCAAGCTAACATGGCTTATTAAGCTGCACTCGCTCTTGCTACCAGTATCAGTTACGCTTTGTCTGCGGTGTTGGCAAATCTCGTGAGTGGTGAACAAAGGGGTGATGAGCTGCCCTTTGTCCTTGCAAGTGTCCCTAGCTGTCCCAACAGAATAGCACTTTATCTCTCTTGGAGCGCGGCCAAATACGCTACATGAACCAATCGCGCATCAGTGCTGTAAAATAGTTTTTGGCAGTACATAATTGGAATATTTTTGCACTGCATGTGACCTTTCTTAATAGTATCACAGTACCTGAACCATGTTATTTCTCCATCCGCTCAGCCTTTGCTGTAATAACGCCATACATGAACTTAAAGTTGTCCACATTTGTATCATTAACACAAACGTATACGATAACAAACATTGCCATATCAAATTATATATTCTGTGAGACATGAAATGAAAAATAGTTTTTATCGTGTAGCGATTATGACCGGATAGCACAGGCGGGTGCGTCCTCTGAGTATACCATAGGCATGTTGGACCTCCGTGCCTTTTGTGAAATTCGTCTTGATTGTCCTGTTTAAATTGACGATCCATAAATCCAGATTCCGAAAGCAAATGTCACACCAGTAAATGTGATGTTGCACTGCTGTAATTTTCCCTGTCGGAGAAGTCCTTCTCACAAGATATATATTCCGTTGTTTGAAGTAGGCCTATGACTATTAAACCCCAGTGTTGCTATTCATCTTGCAGACCTTTAGCCTGACATAGACGCAGACCCGCATGTTCAAGTTCAGATCTGACAGGTGCCGAAAATATTGATTCCAACAAGAATGCAATATCTCAGTGGGTTATTGTTTTCCTAAGTAAGTGGAGTGCTTTCTACAACACTGGAGATAATGGTATCGCTGTCCTTCTGATATTGCCCCGAACGGAAGCTCTACCCATTTAGGGTACAATGTGTATGTTACAGATTTGTAGGGAATACTCTTAAGACAAGTAATTTGACCAGGATTCTTCGAACTTGCAACAGTCGTTTGAGAAGATCAAGAGAGAAAGGGGTAGTGTGCGATGTATCTGGCAGACGTATATGGAGAAAGTTCGAAGAATGTTGCTGTATAAATACAATAATAGAAATACCGGTTATGTTTGAAAAGTACCCTCAATCTGATAGCCAGTGAGATTATTGTGAAAGATCTCAATATGTATCGTCATAAACGGGCCCAGATGAAAGTACATGTCATTCATTCCCACATTATATCCGATTCACACGGGACATGGTTGTTGCAGGTAGGGCAAACACTTTCTTCTATAGGTATCTGCCGGTTTCACGCTACATACATGTATTCAGATTATTGAGAAAAGTAGCGACGCATGTTCTCCTCCATCACGCATATAATTGCATAGATACTAGTACCCAGTGATTATGGGTAGCACTGCAGCAACGTAATGAAATTTACGACATACACTGCCATACCTAGCATCGTATTTATTACTCTCTTACATAAGGTGAAATATCACAGGGTTGTCATGGTAACGATAATTTGGCATACTATTTATTGTCTTATTCTGTTATCTGCGATCAGAATTTAAATCAGTTTTGACGTGAGCATGTTCAGAGAAAAGAAGCTGTAAAACGAATATTAATGTGATCGAATCTATATGCCTTTGTAAAAGCGAGTTTCAAGCTACCTACATAAAAAACCTTCATGATAAATATCTGCTAATCCGTGGCACGATTCCAACTATATCATGAGCATGTGTTTGTGAATCATAATTAAATAATGATGTTACAAGGCGTACATGCCGCGTCAACAACACATGGAAACGCACGAGAATTGCAATACGGGCCCCTAAACCACTGATGCTCCGTGGCCTGGAGACACATGTGATTGAGCGTATGTAGGGATGGGTAGAAGACAAAAGACAAAATGGATACTCGTGCTGTTATACTTTTGAATTATAAGTAAACATTCGTTCTTATAAATGTATACTTTCCAATTTCAACCAAATGTACATTCGAAGGATATCTAAATCTAGGTTAAGCTATTTGAATCATATTTACAATCAAAAGACCAAAACAATGGCCTGTTGTCAAAATATTTTGTTTTCCATATCTTGTCCCAATCTGTATCCAGAGACCATATAATAGTCTGTTATATGGCCTCTGCCGTATCATAGTCCAAGAACGATATTATTTCCCCTTCCTTCCAGCCCTTACTGTAATGCTTACGCTCTCAATGAAGCATATCTAGATATTCAGCGTTTGTTGTAATCTGCAGGAAAACTCACTGCAGGGTTCGCGTTACAGAGTAAACATACCAAACACCCATGGCTAGCGGGGACCAACATCTTCAGTAACATTTACATCTGCCAACGCTTAATTCGCAAGTGGTGAGGCAATACGCTAATGAGGCTAAGGGTCCTGTGCCATGTTTGTGAAATACCTATGATGCCTTATATGAAGTCTATAATCTAAGCAAGTCTAGCTAAGTATGGCTTTAAGTCACTGCTTGAAGAAAGGCTCCTTTAGAATTTTGTTTGGTAAATATTAGCATTTCACTGACTTAATCATATTGGAAAACACATGGCAACCTATACTTCATTGTGACTATGATTAAGATCATTGTAAAACACAAGGGTTATTTCCTTTGAGTTAACTGACAGGCTTTCGGTATCAAATATTTGGAACTCCGGCCAAAGGTGATGTTATGCTGTCTGGATATATAGCGTTTTTGTAATGCTTTGGTTGCACTTAATGATAAGTGATTGTTAAATGTACATATGATGTTTTTGAAGGATATACTCACTTGACTCAGAGACTCTGCGCGTGTTTTCCCCCACTCTTTCCACACCCATCCTTCAGTCTTTATGTTTGTGACATGATCTGCACACTGATAATTTAAACCAGGTATGTAAATAATAACTGATTGCAATCTTTACCCAGTTTAGTTTTCCATTTATTTAGCAATTTTCAGTTTCTATTATTTTCTGGAAATTTTGTTCGGAGGTACATTTAACAGTTTCACCCAATAACAGTAAAGCGTACAGATAATACGTTTCGGTACTTTGATAGATTAATAAGTTAACATTATATTGCATGATATTGGGATGCCAAAATGATTAACGTTATTATACAATGTATGACAAATCAGACAGCAAAAAGCATAAATTAAAAACGCATGAGCAACATATATAATGTCGGTTTACTCCCATTTGTGAGAACTGCCAGTTGTGAGACAGTGGAGTAGGTAATTAGCAAAGAAAACACACCTTACTCCCCTATCTGATAGAATGGATTAACCCCAGCTAATTTTGGATTAGCTATTTAACTGAATCTTGTGGAGGTAACTTAATGAAACTCTAAAAGATAAAGAAATTAACCTATTCAGGTAAATGGCTTTAAAAAATAAACACTTTGTGTAGGTAACTTCGTGATCATTTGAAAGAGAAATTAATTTACCTACTCAGATTTACGTGTTTGAAAAATCTAGCAATAACTGTTGTAACTATAATTAATCCAAATGTATTTATTAACCTTTGACTGCTCTTACCGATCACCAATTTGGCAGGCCTTCAACAAGTAAAATATATCACCAGTTCACGATAATCATTGTCAGTATTTCAGTATCTATTGAAAACAATAAATGCTCTTCAACGAACAATGTCTTCTGTGTTGATTAACTCATTAATGAACTATGCCTCCTGCGGGTACTCTTCAGCAACAGGGCTGTTCCCACTTTCATCGTAGGGATGGGGAAGCACCAACTGTGTGCACTGAACCATTAATTAATGTGTCTCACAACTGGGAGTTCTCACAAATGGGAGGACACAATAATGTCAGGTATTAAGCTTTCAATAATTACAGAAACTGCTTAGTTATCTAACTTTATGCAGTCACTAGAGTTTTCTATAGTCTACCCCAAAGATGGAATCAAAATAGGTGTACAGTATATTCCGTCGGGTAACTGAAATTTGAGAAAACGTCCGTATGGGACAGTATATGAATTCCGAATAAAAAAGAGGCCATTCCAAGTAGTTGTGTAACAATTCATCTATTGTATCGATGTTTGCATAGTCAGCTATGCGATACGAATGCATCAATACAAATACATTTAGGTTATACATCAGGATATTTATATCGCGAGGGTCCATGATACATCGATGTATCACCACAAGAGTGAGTGAGTGAGTTATTATTTAACGTCACTTCGGCAATATTTCAGCCATATCGTGACGAGAACATATGTGACATTGAAATGGAATAGATGTATATTATAAAAACCTGTCGACGAAGGACAGTAAAACAACTAGAATATCACAATTACAACTAAAACTAGTGTGGAAAATTAATACTAATAGCACTATTTGGACAATACAATATAAAAACTGGCTATAGATCGCCAACAACTGAAGGTAGATCACCAAACTGGGGACTCGCCACAAGAGACGATATATCCCGATACTACTTAAGTACTACTTAAAGTTGTAAAGAGTTTTGCATTAGGAATAGGAAGGGAGTCTCTTTGGAAACCTTCTGAAATTTATTTTATAAATTGAGCCTTATAGGAATTTGTATCTGTTACATGAACAAAGGCGTTGGTGTAGAAGTGAAACAGTGTGAACATGTTTCAAACTCTGTGAACTGTACAACACTTGCCTTCAAGTAATTGAAATATGTTTTAGTTGTTGACAAATAACACCATTTATTCACAACTATGAATGATGTCTCAGCTTTGTTAAGAAAGAGAACAAAGATAAGATACAATTTAGACAGCAGACTTAAGAGTTTTTTTCAATGATTTTGAATTCTGATATATATTACATTAAATTGTTTGTGAAAGAATTGATGTAGAAACACAACTTGAAATGCTGAAATTGTATTAGATCAACAACTCTTTAAGTGTGTGTGTATGTGTGTGTGTGTGTTTGTGAATGTAACACAGGTTTTGATGAGTTTATAACTATTTTAAGTCACGATATGGCTGAAATATTGCCACTATGACTATAAACTTTAACTCACTCACTCACTCACTCACTCACTCACTCACTCATGATATATTGTCTCGCCTCATTAAACTGGTATCAGCGGCTGAAGGGATGGTGTAAATCCAACTAGGGTTCATGCAGGTAGCCAAAGTACTGTAAGTCCCTTTGGTCCTTAGTATGGTGATCTGCCTTCAGGTTTTGGTGATCTAAAGCCCATCTGTATATTATATTGTTCTGTAGAAATATTGTTTTATGATTACATGCTAGTTTTAAGTTTACACCTGTGATAATCTAGATATTTTACTGTACTTCGATGACAGATATTTATATTGCCTGAGTTTCTTTTTGATACACAACACCCATAGTCACGATATGACTGAAATATTGCAGATGTGACTTTAAATTCTAACTCTCTCACTCACTACATCACGTTAAGTTGGTACATGATTTAACTATAATACTGTTCAAACCTGCCTTAAACTCAACTTACTCTTTCACAACGCGCGCGTATGTTTTCATTTAGTATTACTTTTCCAGGGTTGCGGTGGGGTAGCGTAGTGGTTAAAGCGTTTTAGGATTATCCGCGTTAGATTGTCCACATGGGTACAAGCCTATTTCTGGTGTCTCCAACCGTGACATTGCTTGAGTATTGCCAAAAGCGGCGTTAAGCCATATGTACTCACTCACTACTTTATCAGGCGATAAGTGAGTGAATGGTTTTCGGCGCAATTGGATGCATTCAGCTGGGTATTGTTTTGGCCACTGCTGGTTTTCAATACATGCCAGGCCAGGACCAGAGCAGCTTGTGATTTGTGCCATCCAATCACAGTCTACGTTACATCGGCCACTGCCTATGTGTGTACTTGTTTAGGCAGTCAGGGGTTCAGCAACGTGCTGCATGTGTCTCTACAGTGTACAGGTATGCGTGAAACTTACCCCAGGGGATACTACCCAACCGGGTCGGTGGGGTAGCCTGGTGGTTAAAGCGTTCGTTCGTCACGCCAAAGGCCTGCGTTCGATTCCCCACACGGGCACATTGTGTGAAGCCTATTTCTGGTGTCCCCCGCCGTGATATTGCTGGAATATTGCTAAAATCGGCGTAAAACACAACGCGGACGCTCAGATATTTGAACGATACACGTTCATACATGATATGTGTGTGTTATGTAGGGTGAAAGAAGTGGGTAACTAGCTGGGTTTATTATTGATCACTGGCTTGTAGTTTCATACCAATTACACGGGATTCACAAGATCAAGCAGTAAACCTGAAAAATCTGTTTAGATGTCGTCTATTATCTGAGTATTTGAAGGAACTTGATCTTATCTGAAAATATATGTGCATTACGCGTTGCTCGTTTTCGGTGTTTTGCCCGTGTTCCAGATTGTAAATATTAATGTTCAACCAATTTTTTGAATTGTAAATAGTATTGTTATAGCCAGTGTTTATAATTGTAAATAGATAATATTGTGCTGTTAAAATGTGTATTTGAGAAAACTGGCATTGAGTGTGACTTTGTGTAAATAATGGATTGAATATATGTGTAAACTTTTTTTCTATTTTTTTTTTCTTTTTTTTAAATCTTTTTATTTGTTCCCATATATGTGTAAACTTGGTCTTGCCGCTAAAAGGCTGAAATACTGCCGATGTGACGTTAAATTTTAATTCACTCACCCACCCACCCATAAGTTTCATCGTAACAGATCGTTGTTATGAAATCGTATTGGGAGGATTATGCGCATTTGGACCCGGTCATTGACACGACTCCTGGGTTCAGAGGCAGTGGGCTTCTTTCAATGGTTGACTGACCTTGCCATTTGTATCGGCTTTGTGAATTCTCTTCGGCGATTTGCATGAAAGAACAAGCCATTTTGAGAGTAGTACAACTGTTCCGCACGACTTAGATCCAGTCCCATCGATATTGCAGCTGTTGTACGATCGCATAATGACATACACGTGGAGACAGGAGGCACACCCTCCCGTAGCTGAGCTTTGTAGTGCAACGTATCACAATGTCATGCTAAGGCTCCTTGGATTGGACGTTGGAGATAATGGCAGGGTCAGAATGTTAACGAGGGGCCTTCATTCACCGCTGACGGTGAGGGTGGCGGAGGACGACCTCCAGATGGAGGATTGCAGTCACGTGACCTGGTAACCTACATAACAGTATCGGGTCGGAGTGACCTAGAACGTGACTGTGTATCGACGAGGCGCATATGCCTCCGCTCCAGCCTACATATGCATGGGTTCACTGTAGAGGCAAGGCTTGAGCAATGAGTGCCACAGAAAAATACGGAGATATACATGGCTTGGTATAATAAGTACGCTTGTGTTACAGGTGCATCGCACGAAGGTGGAGCTAGATAACATGGAATGTTATTAATGTTGGCACATATTGGTTGACCCCATTTATACGTCAGACTGAGCCGTGGGACAGTTGAATTGATTATTGGAACCATGGCAGAAGAAGACAACTTTGAAGAGGAGGACCAACGTGCAAGCTTCCGGCAGAAACTGAAGCATTCTGGGTACAGACGGAAGTTCCTACACACTATTGTGTTGTTCCTGTCGTTTGCCGTTCTGGTAAGATGGTGGCCGTTGTCACTATATTAGTCCTAATTTAAAAACAATAGTCCTCCCCCTTTAAACAGATGATCCAAAGTAAACTCCGTTCTGAGGGAGTGGTAATATACTTCAGGGATGGATTGTCAGAGGCAATCAGCGAGGGTCAGAAAATATATTACGCAATTTTGGTGATGGTAATGAAATTTGATTTTTTAATGATAATGTATATCAGTTCAGCAAAAAACATATGACTAATTTGGTTTGTTGATTTTGTTGGTTTGTTCGTTGTGTAACGCCCCACTCAGCAGTATTCCAGCCATATAGCAGCGGTCTGTAAATAATTGAGTCAGGACCAGACAATCCAGTGATCAATAGCATGAGCATCGATCTACGCAATTCTAACCTAGATCTTCAGGGGTCTGGCCCCTTCGGATGAGTGACTCTATTTTTCCCAGACACATTTAGTAACTTTTTGATAGAAACATAATCATAACATGCCTATATGGAACTGTTCAAATCACACGTTCAGCCAAAACGTTCATCTTACAAGGCAAGACAAGGCTTTCATGTTTTTAGCGAGGCGATGCATGATCAGATTTAATGTTTTCGAGGTGACTAACTCCGGGGAGTCATTTAAACCCCGTTTTTGCATTTCCTTGCTTTGTTGACCCCTTAAATTATAAATTTGTATCGTCTTGTACACGGTACTTCTGTTTTTGAATATTATGCTGTTAGGCATCAGTAATCCTAAATGCTGAAAAAGGACTAAAATCAACAGTGTTTTTGTTTAGTTTACCTGCCACCGGTGAAGGTCCGGGTTAGAATGAACCTTCAGTAACCCAGGCTTGTCGTAAGAGGCGATTAAAGGGATCGGGTGGTCAGGCTCGCTGGCTTGGTTGACACATGTCATCGGTTCCCATTTGCGCAGATCGATGCTCATGCTGTTGATCACTGGCTTGTCTGGTCCAGACTCGATTATTTACAGACCGCCGCCATATAGCTGGAATATTGCTGATTGCGGCGTAAAACTAAACTCACTCACTAGTTTACTTGCCCTTTCCGAGACAGTCAGTACTATTAACAGAGATTCTATATGGAGAGAAAACATTGAAGATGAGTTTTGTTTAAATACCTTAAACATTAATTGTCAATTATGGTAATTAATGCTTTTATGAGGTCAACTCTGGGTACTTGTTGAGGTCGTGATCTCGCTAATCAATGTAGTAAATTGTTACTACCCATCTTTGTAAGCTAATGCTCTGACAAACGAATGTACTTTGTTTCGGAAGCAAAATCGTAAATATTAATGTCTATAAGTTATTCATTCCCAACTCTAAAGAGCAAATAGTGAGTGAGAGAGTGAGTGAGCTATGGTTTACACCGTGTTCAGTAATATTCTAGCAATCTCACGGCGGGGGACACCAGAAATGGGCTTCGCACATTGTACACACGTGTCGAATCGAACACGGGTCTTCGGCATGATGAGCGAACGCTTTAGCCACTAGGATACCCTACTGCCCCTAAAGAGCGAATAGATAAAATGCCTTCGTTTGTAACTAGACAGCCCATTCAACTAGCATAACCTCCAACATTAATATACAAGCGAAAATTATTTTATACCTGGGAAACAAACAGATACCTTGAAGATTTCTTTCTGAATCCCCGGTAACAATGGATGTTTTAAGTATTTGTTTTAGATATATTTTGGGAACGGGTGGCCTAGAGACTTTCAAATCGCTGTACAGTGTTGCGTCCCTCAGTGTGTGCAGACTTCGCGAGGGTGTTAATTCTCATGCAAGGCTTTTCATGATATTTATTTTGTGTTTTACACCATACGCAGAAGACATGTAGATCAAAGAAATTAAAAGTTGACTCGTAGACTTTAGTTGGGTTCCTTTGTATATATGTTTTTATTATAATCTGTAGTGTCTTCGATAAACCATACTCCTGAGTTTCACAAAAACAGTAAATGTTTAAACCCTCCTAAAACACCAGACTTTCCTCGGTCGTATAACTGACACCTGGTATTCTAACTCAAAACGGTGTTAAATAGACACATATACATTTTTCCACATGTTTTTTTTCAGGGTGTCTGTGATACAATCCATTATCCAGCATTCCTGGACCTGGCCCTGATAACAGGAACCAATATAGAACAGGCTTCCGTCTTCTACACCGCTATGTCCGTCGGCGGCCTGGTGGGTTCAGTGGTCATGGGATTCCTGTTTGACAAGCTGACCAATCACAGACTTTTTCTTCTAGCTGCTTCTAATATAGGTGGCGCTGTGACTTTAGCAGCTATCCCCTGGTCCAGCAACTACCATCTGACAATATTCATCTTCTTTATCAACTATGTGTTTAATCTGGCATTTGATACAGGTAGGTAACAACTATATACTTCATAAATTATGGAAATAGTTTTGACTTCAAAAAACCTTTATCGTACCAATCAAGACATAACTTTGGGAAACAAACCATTTGGATAATGTAGAATCTGGTAGATATCTGAGAGATAAGAGCGAGTGAGCGAGTTTAGTTTTACGCCGCATTTAGCAATATTCCAGCAATATCACGGCGGGGGACACCAGAAATGGGCTTCACACGTTGCTCCCATGTGGGGAATCGAACCTGGGTCTTCAGCGTGACGAGCCAACGCATTAACCACTAGGCTACCTCACCGCCCCTGAGATATAAGAACATATAAATATAAAGAATAACTCTCCGCAATAAACGACCTTATTATAATAATAGAGTAGCAGCAATTATAAACAATATGAAATCAAACACGGACGTAATGGGGATGGGGGGTGGTACTGTGATGATGATTTTACGGGGTGGGTCAATCAGTTTGATCTGGGGAGGTGGGGGTCATCAATTTTGTACGCACGTACTAGGGTTTGTGCAGGGGCCATTACTCTGTACATAAATTATGGGGTGGGGGTGGGGGGGGTTCATTCACACTGTACACGCTTCTCCCAAAAAAATCATCAATAACTGTGCGCGTAATTTGCATGTTTGTACGCCAATTGCTGTATTAAAGCTACATACAAATATTATTATATATTTTACCTTCTCTAGTACCGGCAAATATGAAATATACAATATTTTGTTTCTTCTGATATATGGAATGCATTGATGTGTCACGATACACGCATATCGATCTCAATACCAGATGTGAAAATAGAACAGGAAAGTTTCCGACAATAGGAAGAATACTTCAGTCAGTCGCACCTGTTTTTTTCCATCCATACAAGGAACAAAGCATTTATGCCGTCCAATCGCAGCCTACGATACATCGGCAACTGTCTGTGAGCGTACTTGCTTAGACAAACACGTGCCCAGCAAGTTGCGGCGTTTGTCTCTTCCGTTTACAACGCTGCGTGAAACACTCTCGCACTATCTCATATCAGTTGTCGTGTCATGAACGGACACTCACTTGTTTACTTAATACACAGCTATACCTATTTTATGTAGGCTGAAAAAAGCAGGTAAGTAAAGAAGGGAAGCAAATCCTAGAGTCTTAGTCATGCCAGGTTTGCCTCAAGAGCATTGGGCTAAGTTAGGTGCACCTAACCATATTGTATATGTATACACGATTATACAATAACATTCTGGCACACATTTCAGTGTCGACCATAGGTGAATGAGTGAGAGAGTTTGTTTTCAGTAGCATCCTAGGATTATGAATGTGTGCAAAATGACGAGCGATCTCTTTAACCAGTATTCTGAAATTTATTGTTTTCGATCCAATTTTGTTCCAATGGATAAATTATAATTTATTAGTTCATCAAAAGAACGTATGCCCCCTTTGGTTTGTTGGCGTTGTTTGTTTGTTTGTTTGTTGTTTTGTAACGCCGAACTCAGCAATAATCCAGCTATGTTGCTGCGGTCTGTAAATAATCGAGTCCGGACCAGACAATCCAGTGATAAACATCATGAGCTTTCTTCATGCAAATGGGATTCGATGACATGTGTGAACCAAGTCAGCGAGCCTGACCAGCAGATCCCGTTAGTCGCCTCGTGCGACATGCGTGGGTTGCTGATTACCAATTCTAACCCGGACCTTCACAGTTAGCTTTAGTAGTACTGATGGCAAGTGTTTGGGTGGGTTGGTGAAGTGATTAATTAAGAAAGGGGGTTGGTGTGTGGGTTAGGGTGATGGGATGAGTGGAACGATGGTCGTGATATCAACCACTGGATTGCCTGGTCCAGATTCGAATTGTTACTGACTGCCCTCATGTCCTTAAAAATTGCTAATAAACACGCAAATAAAACAATACACATAGTTGTGTCGAAATATCGTGAACTACAGTTAGTTAAACTATGCATGTCACCTATTTGCCAGTAGCAGAGTACAATCTATGTCATGTCCCGTATCTATTCCAGGTACACACGCAGACCTTCTAAACACGTGGGGCAAGGACGGCAAGATGTTTCTTCAGTTTCTCCACTTCTCCTACGCACTTGGAACCATCCTATCGCCACTAATCGCGGAGCCATTTCTTGCAGAACTAGGGGGAGACAACTCCACACACCAGTCATCACAACACGTCGATCTCACCAGACTTCTCCCCAACAATACGGCTGATCTCACACCTTATGCTGCCGTGAAGGACAACTCTACGATCCCAGTTTACGACAACCATCCGAAGAGTCAGATACAATATGCATACTGTATCGCGGGACTTTTATTCCTTTTTTCGGCTCTGCTCATGGGTTTAGAGGGTTGTGTAAATCGCAAGAAACCCAAGTGTGCCGTCGTTAAGGAAGACCATCGAGAGATCCGCGAACTTCAACCGAGGACGAAAGTCATAGTTCTTGTGATTGTATCCGTAATATATTTCTTCCACTGCGCGTCCGGGCTTACGATTTCTGGCTACATGATGGCATTCTGTGTCCAAGACAGAGGCTGGAGTAAAGAAACATCTTCATACCTTGCCGCAGTGTTTTGGGCGGTTTTTGCCGCCTCCCGCCTCGGAGGAGTGTTCGTCATCAAATACATATCCCCATTGAAACTAATGTTTCTCTGTAACTGCTTGTTAACGCTATCAGTAAGTGGACTTTGGGTCGGAGTTGCTGCTCAAAGTGATACCTGGGTGTGGATCTGTATCATTGCCACATCTATAGGAGCGGCTGTGTTCTTTCCAACAGGGTTTATCCGTGTGGAGACCGACATCATGCCAGTGACGGGGATGGTCGCTGGTATCATGATGCTTGCGACGAACGCTGCGGGGATTGTTAACCCCTTGTTGGTGGGGTATCTGATGCAGGAGGTCTCCCCGAAGTGGTATGTTTATGTAACCTTCGCCGAGGTTGTTGTGTGTTTCGTCTGTTGCTTCGTACTTGATGTTGTGGTCAAAACTATGGTTACGAAGCAAAGGTCCAATTTGAGTGTCCCCGCTGACGAAGATGGCGAGGAAAAGTTTGTTGCAGAGCATCAATCACAACAAAACGCAGTGACCACATGAGAACTACATCCGTCAGCCTCGTGTAGTGAGTGAGTGAGATTTGTAATATAGCACCTTTAGTGAAGTTTTACATCTGGATTCAGAAATGAAAAACATGACAGTGAACAAATCGAAACATGAATCTCATTAACCAATCAGACAATGACCTACTTTTCAGCCGATCCGAATGTTCTCGTGTGAAAGTGAAAAGATACACTATCCTATGGTTACACTAAATTCCAATTGTTTGTGTCATAAGAAAGTGGTATTTACAAATGAAATTTAATTTTAAACTTTAATATAATCGTATTTCTATATTTGATGGCAAGGTGTAAGCAGCATGACCTTAACTGACTGACTGACTGACTGAGTTTGGTTTTACGCCGCTTTTAGCAATATTCCAGCAACATCACGGCGGGGGACACTAGAAATGGGCTTCACACATTGTGCCCATGTGGGGATTCGAACCCGGGTATTCGGCGTGACGAGCCAACGCTTTAACCATTAAGCTACCCCACCGCCCCATGACGTTAACCAGGGAGACTCTATAAGGGGGAGTGGTCACTCCTCGGAAAGCTCCTAAGCTATGCCTCGGCTCGTCACGTGACCAGTGCAGCCAATATGGCGACAGCGTAGTTTTTAAGATTGAGCCCGGTTTATTTTCAACAGCTGATTACATACGCTGAGTGTTGTGACAACTGAAAACCTACATGTAGAAGATAAGTTACCTATTCTGTCACTTCATTTTAAGTCAAATACTTGTTATTAGTGTCAGTATAAGTACAGTAGCTTTGTAGTAAAGTTTCAAGTGGGCATGTTGTAGCTCACTGGCTTCAATTCTCAGTACACAGCGAAGAAAGACTAACTTATATCGCTAAAAACTTCTTTCACATATTCGTTTAATTTTTAGAAGGGAAATATACCTTTTGTTAAAAGGTGTTTGCAAGTAATAGTGATATTTTCATACCTAAAAATTTTTTGTTAGGGTGTATTTGAGGTGTGTGAAAAATATGACATATCGCCGATCTGCCATTGAAATACTACAGGGCGTTGTTTGAGTGTTTCTAGTTAGTGTTCAAAAACATCTTTCACATACACCTTCAATTTTTATGAGGGGAATATACCATCAGGTGAAAGGTGTTTGCAAGTAATAGTGATAGTTTTATAATTTAAAAAAAATTGTTAGTGTGTATTTGAGGTGTGTGAAAAATATGACATATCGCCGATCTGCCATTGAAATACTACAGGGCGTTGTTTGAGTGTTTCTAGTTAGTGTTCTAAAACATCTTTCACATACACCTTTAATTTTTATGAGGGGAATATACCATCAGGTGAAAGTTTTTTGCAAGTAATAGTGATATTTTTTTTATATTTTTTTTGTTAGTGTGTATTTGAGGTGTGTGAAAAATATGACATATCGCCGATCTGTTCTGATACGCCATTGGTGCTTGTGATGCTTGAGTGTTATAGTTCTAAAACTTCTTTCTTTCTTGTTGATCTTAGTATTTGACAAAACTGGAAAGGTGTTTGCAAGGCGTTGTGATAGTTCTAAACTTTCTGTTCTTGGGGGGTCTGTGACAGTGTCAGTTAACATTCTGTCAATGCCCATGTCATTCCACACATGCAATAAGATATCTGAATTAGTTACTAATGTAAAAAATGTCTCAAAGTAGATTTTTATAAAAAGGACAGCTGATGTTAACATGTGTTCTACCAATAGTTTTGCGTTCTTTAACATGTTTGGGGAGGGATGGCCGTGGTGTATCATTTATTCTTTCATTCATTCACATATGTTCTTTTTCTTTTGTTCTTTTTCTTAATTTCTTTCCTTCATTCACATAAAATTCTTGCTCTTAATTCATTCATTCATTCATTGTAAAATTCCAACCTATACAATACACTGGCTGAAGTACTGTTAAACGCAGCCGAAGTTGCGCTGGGACCGAACCAAGTCACTGTGTGCGTTGGAGCATGACGAGGCACACGTTAATTAGTACAAATGGTAAAGAAAGCAAGCGAGTGACCTATCCCTGTTGTAGAGTATCCCTGCGTTAACTAAGACTTCACAGACTGCCTCCGTTTGAAGAGGTAGTAAAATGATTCACAATTCATCTGGCTCACTAGTTACACCAGTTACACACTGTTATGTGTACTTTGCGCTTATTCAGTGTATTTTTGTAACGTACAAGGTGATCGATATAATATTAAATTCGTACCAGACCGTCAAACATTTCTAGCGGCCGAGACTCGTTTTGAGATTTCAACGATTTCCAGATTTCCGTTTGTCAGAGCACGCTGTACGACAGAGCACGCTGCACGAAATGTTTGCAAGGATTAGAAGGAGCGCAGTGTTGCAATATAAAAGTGATTAGATGTATCAAATATTAAAGATTAACATTTATGTATCCAGTTGAATGGGTTGTTCTTAAAAATTCTGGACTGGTTATTGTGCTGAGTTGCGCAATAGGAACTGAACCCAGTCAGCAGGAAACGAGACTTTTTGACTTGTGTATGCGGATCTCAATGTATTAAAGGTCACATGCAACGTAAAACACAACTTTGCAGATTCTGATACCTTTCGGTATGGACATACCGAAACAAATCGTCAAAAATGCAAATTCAACTTATAAAGTTGAAAAATAACGCGATGAAAAAAAAAACGCGCGGAATCGGAGTTCAAACGTTTCGCTAATTTTCCCCAGACTTTTCTGGGGAAAACGGGTTTCAACAGCTGGGCTGCGCTCATAGCACGTGCGCAGTGAAATAGGTTCGCGCAACTTGGAAGCGGGTTGTCCGGTGAATACTCGGTGAAGGCTTTGGTGTGAGCTATTTTTCTAATGTTTTGTTGATATCTCACAGGCGCGAGCTTTTTATATGTTATGACAGTAAATTAACTGTTTATATAATTTCACCACACGTTCTTCTTACCGAGTCACTTTCTCAGTTCGATACTTAAAAGCAACGTCATTATTTAGCGTTGACAGAATTTCTAACTGTGATATAGATATGTCGTTGTCACAGACAAAACTCAATGTTTTGTTTTATTGACATCTGTGTGTCTGCCTGCCTGTCTGCTAATGACAATATTCAATACACATCTGCTATCACTGACCACATGCAATTTGAACTTAACACCAATCAGGCTATACACCATAAACAAAATGCATTGATTTATGGCCCGAGTTCGGTCTCTGTCACATTATGTAATTACACAGACAGGCAGGTGTGATAGTTGAACACATGACATGTTATGATGTCTGTTGATTGCAAAATGTTATACACAAAAAATGAGCATGTATTTACAAAACCCAACATCTCTACATATACACACACAATAAGCCGTGAGGGCATATGCAAATGAACCAGCCGTTACACTTGAGTGCACACCCACCCGCTCTGACTGGGTTCGGTATCCCGGCTGCTTCGTTTCTTGGGAAGTAAACCGAAGTACACAATTTTGCACTTTTGATTTGCGATTGTACGCTTATAATTTTGTTTATATGTTTTTTCATAACCAGCAATGTATATTATATGTCACGAATAAGTGATAATTGTGTTTTAATTATGTTTGATTTTTTTGGTTGCATGTGACCTTTAATAGGTGACACAAGTGACTGCTATACATCGAAGCAGCGGACTGGATGAGGTCTGTGTGTCTCTATGTGTGTGTGCGAGCGCGTGCTTGTGTGTGGATGGAGTGATTGAGTTTAGTTTTACGCTGCACTCAGCAATATTCAAGCTATATGGCGGCGGTCTGTAAACAGTGGTGTGTGGGGGGGGAGGTGTGTGTGAGTGTGTGAGTGTGTGTATGCAGTGTTACGTATTTTCTGTCATATTACCTTCTGGTAACATTCCATCCCCACTCTTACAGTACATCTGTTTCAGTGTTATGATTCAACTACTTTAATCATGTTTTATTTTCCATGTAATTTGGTTACACACTATCATCAACAAGACAAATTTGTAAAATGTATTTTACACCATTACTGACAATAGGGTCAAAACCAGCTCAAGCTTAGGGCGGAGGGCCATTTACTTTGAATTTGTATTTCTGATTCGGGGGTTATTTCTTTTCAGGTACAAGTACAAAAAACAAGATTACTGCTGCTTTTCATTAAAGTCTTTTGAGAAATAGGTTGAGTGTTCCTTTTCAGTATTTCCGAAATGAGTACAACTTTTGATATGGACAACAATTTCTTACATTCTTTGTCACGACTTTTCAGAGCTACTTCTTGCTCCTTCATCAAATGAATGTTGAGTACGTGTATACATGATGCCTGGTTTACACAACAGCGCGTGGGATAAATGTACAGAGATAGGAATACCATGACCAGGAAAGTGTACAACGACAATGCAGTAACACAGCCAATGAGATGTGAATAACGTACAAAGACAATACAATGGCCACGCCAATGAGATGTGAGTAACGTACAAAGACAATACAATGATCGAGCCAATGAGATGTGAATAACGTACAAAGACAATACAATGATCGAGCCAATGAGATGTGAATAACGTACAAAGACAATACAATGGTCACGCCAATGAGATGTGAGTAACGTACAAAGACAATACAATGATCGAGCCAATGAGATGTGAATAACGTACAAAGACAATACAATGATCGAGCCAATGAGATGTGAATAACGTACAAAGACAATACAATGGCCACGCCAATGAGATGTGAGTAACGTACAAAGACAATACAATGATCGAGCCAATGAGATGTGAATAACGTACAAAGACAACACAATGATCGAGCCAATGAGATGTGAATAACGTACAAAGACAATACAATGATCGAGCCAATGAGATGTGAATAACGTACAAAGACAATACAATGGCCACGCCAATGAGATGTGAATAACGTACAAAGACAATACAATGATCAAGCCAATGAGATGTGAATAACGTACAAAGACAATACAATGGCCACGCCAATGAGATGTGAGTAACGTACAAAGACAATACAATGGCCACGCCAATGAGATGTGAATAACGTACAAAGACAATACAATGATCGAGCCAATGAGATGTGAATAACGTACAAAGACAATACAATGATCGAGCCAATGAGATGTGAGTAACGTACAAAGACAATACAATGACCAAGCCAATGAGATGTGAATAACGTACAAAGACAATACAATGATCGAGCCAATGAGATGTGAATAACGTACAAAGACAAT